CAGAGTCTTAATTTTTAGTAATCCGTAGCATCTGAATCAAGCAAATGTTGCTATCACTGTTTTTAACTAAGAAAAAATTTCTCCCTTCCGAGAGAGACTGCTCTATCACGGTTGCATTAGAAACGACAAAGGTCAGGAATTCCAATAATGGTGCTTACTTCTATGTGCTGAACTCTGAATAGTGCAACTTGCAAGCTTGATTATGAAAGAGTAGTACAAATTTCATTCTCTAAGTTTGATTTATTTTTGAAGGACTAATTACTGCGTTTTGTGATGTGCTAATATCTATGACATGGTGGTAATGGCGGTGGCATATATATATATATATATATATATATATATCGAAGTTAATCTCTTAATGGCTAAACATAGTTTAATAAAAATAACCTCACAATGTTCTTGGAAATTCTCTTCCTCATGTATATATCTAATTAATCTTTAGACACATAAATTTATGAATCTAAACAAAATAATTTTGTTTGATGTAGATTATAAGATTTTATTTTCTTTGACATGTTCGTATATTTAGTAATTAACCTTTACATTGAAATTAGGAGGACAAATATTGCTGACCTAACCACTTGGTTTGTAGCCAGATGACAAGACCTTAGGTTACTCAGAGATCTTGTGTTCAAATCCCATCAAGTGGACACATATCACATTTGTGATTGACTTGACTCATTGAATTTGTAGGGTGTTAAATGAACCTCAAGAATTAGTTACATGGCTTATTGGACTTATAGGATATTCAATGAATCCCGGTGATTAATTGAGATACGTACAAGCTGACCCGGACATTCGGGTCTCAAAAAAAAAAAAATTTAATAAATAAAATATATATATATATTGCTGACCTAAAAGTACATTGAAATTATAAAGAGTAGCCTTGACTTTCTTTTTCTTTTAATTTTTTTTTTTTTATAGGGCTATTGTGATAGTTTAGGTGAAGGAAAAAAAACAATTTGGAAAGAAACAACAGAGATTTGATTTAGCCTTTATGGGAGTTCCAATTTGGGAGGCAGAATGGTTTGGGAACACCAAAACAACTCTTGAACATGGAGACTCGAAAGGCTCAAGCTCAATTCCCAAACACACACTCGTGCAATCTTGGAAACAATTAATATAATATATTTGGTAAAGACTCAAAAATCAAATTAAGTTATGGGCATATGGGCTATATATGGTCAAAAGAAATTAAAGACTCCTTCATAAATAACTTATGAATTATAATAATACTACTACAAAACCCTTGACTTTGCATTGATAGAGCAATTAATTCTTCTTAAAAATGGGAATTGCAAAGACTTTATTAGCTCCTCTTCGTTTACCACAAATAGAGACATTATTTAATAGAAACAAATGAAATATAAATCAATTTGGATTAATTAATTAATTAATTGTTTATTATTTAATTGACTTGTGTTCACATAAGGACTTGAAGTTCGAGATGAAATCTCATAATGTTGGTACATTCAATTGTGCCTAACCCCAAGTTCTTTGCACATAGAAAGAGTAAACGATTTTTTCCCACCCAAGGTTTGCCTTAATGACACTTTCCCACCCAAAAAGTTTCAAAATACCACTTTTCCACCCAAAGTTTATATTTTGTTAATACCCAAAACATATTTCACTTTCTTAGCTGGCATTCGGCGAGTTACAAAGAGCTTGGTTAATAAGGATTTTGTAGAGTGGAGGCCGATAGATCGAATGGTAGTGATCGATTGAATATTCGCCGTCGAAATCAGCTAAAAACAGGATACCCTACCTTTGCAGTGGCCGACAATCAGCGAGAAATCAAATGCTGAAGTGAGAGAGGTTTTATAGAGAGGAGAACAGAGGTTTAGTGGTGACAAAGAGAATTTTCGCTACCGAGATCGACTTTGAACAGTAACAGAATATTAACTTTGGGTTGAAAGGTGATATTTTAAAACTTTTTGAGTGGGATGTGTCATTAAGGCAAACCTTGGGTGGGAAAAAAAATCGTTTACTCCACATAGAAAATATGAATCATGCATTTGGAGATATGAATAATTGTTATCTTCATAATATCTTTGTTACTAATTACTATGTTAATTTCAAATCCCCTATGAATAATTTTCCTTTGTTTATTGGTAAGTGGCTTTGAGCCTATAAGTTAATTTCTAATTTAATTGAAATTAAGTGTACTCCCTCAATAAATGGGTTTATATTTGGTCAACAAAAGCCCTCACAATGTAGTTATTATGGTTTGATAAAAACTAAAAGATTGTTTCCACTAGGAGAATTTTATATTCTCATCACCAACAAAATTCAAATTAATTAATGTCATATGTGTAACTACCACATGACTACTAAAATATTAGTTTCTTAATTGTTTAATTAATAAGAACTAATATTTGTTTTTCAAATTTCTTTTAATGAAGCTAAATTCTCTATATTTTAAGTTTTTTTTTTTAAAAAAAAAAAATAGGGGTGAGTCGTGAGCATGGGTAGCAAGTAGAATCGGAACCGAAATCTGCCCAGAACCAGCCTTCACAGGGTCGATTTTTCTTGCATATGCAGGAACTAGAACCAACTTGGAATCTGAAATGGTAACCGAGGTGGAGTACTCGGTATGGCCTTGTCTTGGAATCGAAACTAGTTGAGGTAAGACAATGACTGAACACCATCAACCAAAAAAAAAAAAATCAATTAATATTACGCATTCACAATTATTAAACGTATTATATTACTCTTTCAATTATTAAAATCTCTCTTACATTATCAAAACTCCACGACCTTAATAAAGTAACTGTTTAATATTAAATGGATCCCATGAAAAAAATATCCCATTTTTGTTCTTCGATCATGTACATGTATAATTCTTCAGCTGTGACTGAGACTGCTGAGCATTATAACTTGAACTTTGTCCCATTCTCTTTGCCCCTTAATTGTTCAAAATACTCCACCTGAATCTCCTCCTGCACCTTCTGATTCAAGAGGGGTCCCCTCTCCTCTCTCTCTCTCTCTGCAAATGCCATTACTTGGAATACTCTAGCTGCTAGTATCAGAAAATTACTAACTTAAACAAAAGTTTAATTCTTATCAACAACAGTTTTAAATCCATATTAACAAGAAGCTACAGTTATGGAACTTCTGTCTAATGTCTATCGCTGTCTTTGCCTTGCTTGAAATGGCCAACTATTGCACTTATAAGTATTTTGGTTTTGTCAACTTATTCATTGGGAGTGGTACACAATCTATTTAGTTTCACTTTAAAGGTATTCACTACTAAATCGCAGAGATCACAACACATCTGACAAAATTTATTTTAATATTCATGCATATCACACGTACTTTAATTAAATGTGATTATATTTCTAGTAGTGGAAATATTTTTTGTGGACATTGTATATTATGTGAGCCGGAAAAGATTTTATTAAATTATGATTTCAATAATTCTTTTCCTAAAAGAAGATTATGATTCTAAGAATTATTTTCTTATAAGGAGTCTAGGATCTCAATAATCCTTTCTAACACAGGCTTTGAATTATTGTGTTTTATCTCTTATTGTATGAGTTAATTCTAGAATGTTGTTCCACGTTGAGATCTGGACATGTTTGAGCTGTTGCTGCAGAAATAATTCGTCATTGTTAAAATTTGAGAGGAGCTCAAGTGCGACCTAGTGATCCGTGGAGGAGAAGCTAGACTATAAAGATTTGAGGTTCAACTAAAGAGCGAAGATTGAAGTGTTGTCTAAACAGGGAGTTTTTATAATTGATATTTATTCTTGTCTTTGTAATTGAACATATAATTATTTCATAATGAGTTAGTTTTTTCTAGAATTGGTCTCATGGATGTAAGCATGTTACTGAACCATGTAAAATTGAGTTATGCGTTTTATTTTATATTATGGATGGTTTATATATTTAATCATTAATTTATCAACTCATTAAATATAACATGAATAAATAATTTTAATTCCACGTCAGCTTTAATCAACATGATAAAGGTTCAAAACTTCCATTTCGTTTTCAAGGGGTTTCATGTCTTGCACGCGGCAAAGCTTTTGTTTATGCCGACAGAATACAACCACTGTTTCTACTATTAATATTTTAGTGTTTAATTCCAGTTCCACGTGTCGACTTCATGTTAATACTGGAACCTTCTCAGGTACTTATAATTAAACAGCGATAAATTTACTCCCTGTCAAAAAAAATACCACCTTAGTTAATTTGTACGCACAATTAACTTCACTTAAAAAGGCAAATGTGAACGTCATTGTCCTGCTACAGACATTGATTTATCATGTAATTAATGAGTTAAGCAAGCCACATTCTTATGATAATATAATATTTTCTTGTTTTTTCGAAGTATTTTGGAGTTATCTCATGGAGAAGAACTAAATAAACTTGTTTAATTTATATAACTCTTTGCTTATTGCTGTCATTTGATTACTAAAGTCTAAATGATGTGACATAACATTAATATCAATTCATAAGAATGTGTTCTTCTTTTAGCGAGTTCTTATGTTGTTGGGGTAAGATTTTTCCCATTAAATTTTTTATGGCTGTTGACTGAATTTTCCAAGCTAAGAAGATGAGAGAGTGATGGAAGAAACAGAAGGTGCACTGCAGGGAGTGCATGAATATGGAACATTGAACTCGCACACCAAAGCAAATGCTGGAAGAGGCTAAGCTTTGAAAATACTTATGTTGCTTCAAGCAAAGTATTATTAATAGATATTTAAATATAATATTAAAAATTATATACAATTACAGAATGTTCCTCTCTCTCTCTCTTTCTCTATGTGGTGCATTGTAATGCAACAATCTCTTGGGAGACAACCTGCAAGTCTAATCTCTGACTTTCTTTTTGGCTTTTACTCCTTTCTTTATCATCTTCTTTAAATCCTATTAAATTTTCTTCCCCCTTGTTTGCAGAGGTAATTTCTTGACTTTCCTCTCCATTTTGTTTTACCATTTTCAACTTTAGTTAATTTACTCCTCATAATATCACACCCTCTCTTTCTCTTTCTCCCACCATCAAACAACTTCATGTTTTTGTGTATATATATATATATATATATTCATATATGTACTCAGAAAGTGCCAAAACTTCTGTGTAGTACCTAGCTCTTCTTCTCTAACTTGATAGCTTCGTATCTTTCTCATAATTTGATTATAATGACAGATCCTTACTCTAATCTCTTCACTACTGGTTCATGGTTCAACTTCAAGCCTCTTCACCCTCACTACTCTCCTCCAACTTACTCAAATTTAAACAACTCAACTACTTTCACTACTCAATCTGAAAACTATTCACTACTTTTCCCTTCTCCTCCTTCACCTCCACTCAAAGAAGCACTTCCTCTAATCAACTGTTTAAGCCCTAGGAGACAAGAAGAAGAACATGAATCATCAACAAGTACAGCAGAAGAGGACAAGAACTTGAACAAAGAAGATTCTGGTGAAACTGTTACTGTTGCCCTACACATAGGCCTGCCAAACCCTAGTAATTCTGGTTTGGGGTCTAAATTCAGAAGACTCTCACCATCTTCAGATGTGATGGACAAAAGAGGAGTTATGAGTTTGGAAAATTTCAACAACGCTGAGTACTGGATTCCAACTCCATCTCAGATTCTCATCGGTCCTACACAATTTTCATGTCCTGTTTGCAGTAAAAGCTTTAACAGATACAACAATCTGCAGGTATGCCCCGTTTTCCACTAAAATGACCCATAAATTCCTCTCTTTTTTTATTTTCTTCAAGATTATTGCTACTAGCATGATTCAGTTCGCATTTTCTTTTGCTTTTTTGTTTCCTCTTGAAGTTATAGAATTTTTGCATGTTTCTTTCTTGGCTTGAGATTTGCATCATGAGCATGACTATCTGGTGCAAAGTACTGAAACTTTGCTCGTGCTTTGTAACTTGAAAGATTGTGTTTCACCTAGTTTTGATGGTCAAGGAAAGACTGATAAGGTTTAAAGTGCTTCCAGGGTTTTCAAAGATGAATTCACCAAAGTAACTTACAATCTGCACACTCAACTATAGAAAAAAAAACATGTTGAACAGTGAAACTTGTGCAGCTCCATTTCTCGAGTCTGTTAAAAGAAAGCCCTGGATTCAGTGATGTGTTTCTGCGTGAGGAAGAGACAATTTTTATCTGACACTTCAGGCTGTAAAAATTTATTCGGCCAAAGACATTCAACATTCATTTCAATTAGATTCCCACACAGATCTTTCTTAGCATTTTCAACAAAAGAGCCCAGCTTTATTTTCCTCACACTACCAAACGTGTCATAATGTTCTTGAGACATGGGATTGCAAAAGCACAGCTTTTATTTTTATTTTTTTAACACCAGAAGTTCTACTAGTACTTCATTATTCATGATTCTAAGACATAAGTTCTTTGATAAATTTCTAAAAATAAAGCTCGTTAATAACAGTTAAAAAGGCTAAAAAATGAATGTTTATACTACTCTGTGAGTGACATCTTTGTGTGCCTGAACAAGATCTCGACTCAGGAGTCTGAATAAACCATTTTATTTATAGTAGTACTTCCTTCTTTTTCTGTCTGTCTTATCAAGTTTTTGATTTTGGATCACCTGGCAGATGCATATGTGGGGACATGGATCTCAGTACAGAAAAGGACCTGACTCTTTAAGAGGAACTCAACCAACAGCGATGTTGAGACTCCCTTGCTATTGCTGTGTACAAGGATGCAAACACAACATCGATCACCCAAAAGCAAGGCCGCTCAAAGATTTCAGAACTCTCCAAACTCACTACAAGAGAAAGCATGGAATCAAACCCTTCACTTGTAGAAAATGTGGCAAACCATTTGCAGTGAAGGGTGATTGGCGAACCCATGAGAAGAATTGTGGCAAGATTTGGTATTGTATTTGTGGCTCGGATTTTAAGCACAAGAGGTCTTTGAAAGACCACATTAAGGCCTTTGGTCATGGCCATGAAGCTTTGAATGTTGACAACTTTGAAGAAGAAGATGAACCTGCTTCTGAAATTGAACATGATGGCGATCCCTCAATGTGATGGATTGATCAAACTCCCAGTTAGTTCAGTTTGGTGATCAATTTTTCTTTCGTGTGAAACCTCAAATATTGTTCCCTCTAGGGCTCATGTAAATTAATTCATAAATGTTTGAGGATGGTAGTGAAGTGCAAAGTTTTGTAAAGGAGTGTGTAAGCCTCTGGATTTTATGATTTGAATGTACTTCTGCTTTCTAATTAAAAGAATGTTTCTATAGTTTAAATATAAATATTTTCAATTTAAGTATGCATATTATTCATGACAATGGAATTTATGTAATAACTTTACTTGAATTTCATCTCATCAATTTTAATTTATTTAATTTATATTATTAATTTCAAGTCTTCCACCTATATTATAATATCGGTGTGTATGAATTAGTTTATACCAAGAGTTTTTACATATTATATATATGTTGACAATATCTCATGTTTATTTTATACTATTATTTATTTGTAATTTCAATTTTACACGTCTAAATATGTTGGTAGTACTTTGATCTCTTATAGAGGAAAAATCATGTTAGTGTAGAATATTTAATTAGACATGCAGAATTTTTTTTTTTTTTTTGTAACCAAAGATGTCCGAGTTAGCTTATGCACACTTCAATTAATCATGTTGGGAGATTAGCGCAGTAACTCACCGCCACGACCTCTCACTTAAATCACGAATGTTCAGATTGAGAATTGAACTTGAGATCATGTGTCTATCCGCAATTCGCCCTAACCATCTAAGGCAACCCACAGATGGGACATGCAACCTATCGTTCATAAATAATTTATAAATGTTGCAACTGATAGAAGGAAGAATAAAATTGTGAGCTTGTATACTTATGTATACATAAGTATGGTCGAGTAATAGGAGCAGAAAGCAAGAAGAAATGGAAAATAAAAAAGAGTAATACTAACCTTACAACGAGGCATACAAAGAGTCAAATCCAACCCTTAAAAGAAGGGCAAAAGAGAGAGAGAAAGAGGCAATCATGAATTTCAAGGGCTGAATTTAACTCTTTGTATGTCTCTTTGTAAGGTTAGTATTACTCGATAAAAAATGGATTGCAAGAACTTAGCTGGAACTAGCTATATGGGCAAGATTGACGTGTATTACTAGTTGTAGATTTTGATGCCAAAGGAATTAGTATGCACTCTGCTTATAAATATGGACAATAATAATGTCTGTCATATGATATTTAATTACCAAACAGTAACGCTAATTCGCCAATTAACAGGGAATTTATCTATGAGTTAATTTTTTCGAGTTTTTAAACTCTTATATTGTTTTTCATCATGTCAAGATATATTCCTTTGTTATAATAATAATAATAATAATAATGATTGAGTCACTGAATTTTTTTTTTACCAATAACTACTTAAATCGTATATTAGGGTCCGTTTGTTTCATTATTCTGATATCTTTTAGAATAATATTTTGAAAAAAGTTAAATTGGATGGATATTACGATGTAGAATTTGGAAATTAGCAAAAATATCCCCTATGTTTGTTTATTTATTAAATACCCCTATAATAAAATATTAAAAGTTAACAAAAACACCTCCAACCTACTCATTAAATACGGACAATTGGCCACTACCGCTGGAGGGTTACTAGGGTATTTTTATAATTTCTAAAAAAAATATTTAAAAGTGTTTAGTTAAATTAACAAATTTAGGAAGGTTTAAAAGAAATTAAATAATATAGAATAATATTTTGAGAATAAGTCAATTTTACTATTTAACTTTATTAGAAATACTAATAATAGTATTATAAGAGTGTAACAAACGAGAGCCTTACATTTTACCCTTATTAATTGAGAATCGTATATATATGGTTATTGTCATTTTACTGGTGTGTCTGTCTCAATGATTATTGATTAATTATCGTTAGACCGCATTTTATAAGGGTTGAATCAATAACATTAAACCCAGATTGAAGAGGTTTATAAACAGAACGTCTCGAAATAATACTTGGAGCGAGGGATTCAAATCATCCAGATTTAAAAATTAAAATCTCACCTTGACCATCAATGGATTTAGCCATAGGCATTTATAACACGACCCAAATAAGTCTCGCTTATTGGTATTTGGGCAATTATTCCTGTTGCTTTTACAGAACTTCCCTCTCCATTGACTTGGCAATATTGTAAAACTTTCAATGTGGCAAAAAGATATTAAAGTCGTGCCTAAACAGGAGTTCATGGGCAAACATAAGGTGTTGATAGGATTTTATTTTTAGGTTACCATCCACATGGTGCAGCTAATGTCGAAGGTCATGAACAAACAAACTGTGGAAATATGGAATGCATAGCATTTCCTTGATATCTGCTGGAAGGAGTGATTTTAGCATTCAATCAATCATCCTAATTTATATGATTGATTGAATAAATTACATTTATTTGTATTTATTGATTTCCTTTTCTACATTTACAGAATTTGTATAAATTGACCATTGTAAAGGCAGTATCATAATATTAAACTGCTACTCTTTGTCTTCTCTCTTGATTTCTTACAGGGAATATAATTGACGTCAACTCAAGAAGGTTTTTTTCTTTTTTTTTTTCTTTTACCGAAAAGTTCAAATTAATTTGTACGCACCTCAATTAATCCCTAGAATTCATTAAACACTTTACAAATCTAATAAACTAGATAAGTCACAAATGTAATAAATAATCACTTAATAAGACTCAAACGACCTAACCACAAGCCAAATGGTTAAATCAACAAGTTGCTAGTCTTGAAACCTTTCAAATCCATGTTCGACCCTAATCAGAAGGCTCTTTGCAATATTTATTTATCAAGTTTCTGTCTGGCTTGAAGAAGAATACAACACTGGGTACTATAACGACATCGCTTTGATTTGCTTTAACAAAATGCTTCTAGACCGTGTCAATTTGAGAAAAAAAACTGATACGGAACTGGCGCAACATTATTCTTATACGTTTCAAGAGGTTAAGTAGTTAATAAGGACCATGAAGAAATCCGACGGTTTAAAAGGAAGTAAACAAAGACTAGCATACTGTTTTATCAGCTAGAAGAAAATTTTCAAAATTTCGAAATTATGAATAATTGTGTATCAAAGCAAAATTGCTAAATAGTTATGCACACATCCTAACTATGATTGTATTGTATAACCAAACCAGCTTTGATTGAGGACCCATATTGTTTCATGCCTGGTATCCTTCAAAATTGAGTGAGGAATTCGCAAAATATATCTCTCATCAATAAGATGCTAAGAAGTTTCGTAAAATCAGGTAAGAAATCATCGACATCGATAACAGTCACATTCCGGCATGCATGCAAGAATCGAATTACGGCAAAGGCACCAATACTCCTTGCATGGAATGAACATCCAAGGCATTGTTGAAGGAAGCTTTGTCCCCAAAGTATATGCCATTCTGTAAAGGAAGAGAGTAATTGAGTTTAAAATCCCAGTTCCAACCATATTTGAGCTCACGCACACAGATAAATGAACACGAAAAACCTTGAGCGTTTAAATAAAATGAGATGCACATCAAGAAAACTCACCTTTTTCCAGTAAGGACTCCATAAGCTGATTTAGCAAAATATGATCTAGAAACCCCAGAAAAAACTTTTCTGTAGTGAGGCAACACTATTTGTCCTGCATAACATTTTCTGATTCAGTTTTGCACAAAGTCAAAAAGAAACACATAAGACCAGAAACAAAAACCCATACAGTCTTTTTCTCTTCTATATCCTCATGTGCGAGTGTGTGTGCATATCAACAAGTGTAATCACACTCTGGAAAAACTTAAATAGTGTGTCTGCACATGATACTGACAATAGGTCAAAATATTAAGGTCTGCAGACCGGGTCTTATTTAAGAATTATCTCTACAAGACTATTAAAGAAGAAAGAATCCCATAAATTATTGCTCAAGGCCTCACCTATACTCCAAAAGTTGCTGTGGAGAACTGAAATCAGAACATTTCCACTTATACTCTCTTTCAGCTGTGAATTCTTGGGTAAACTGATTTTATCCAGGCAACTAACCTCTGGAAAAAGAATGCTATTACTGTGACAAGTTACAATTTCAAACCATATCCCTGAAGGAAATCTTCTTCGCCTCATCAGCCAGAGAACAATGTTAATATATGGTGTGGCATGGATGACAGATACAGTGACTTCAATCAGCATGCAAATAAGGCTGATAGATGAGTTCATCATCGTGAAAAAAATATAGAAAACAGAAGTTGTTGGTAACAGAAGCAGAAGTGGTGTAAACAGAAGAGACCCAACAATATGTTGCTTCACTGTATAGTCATAGCTATCCAATCTTTGTCGAAGAGGATTCCACTTACGACCCCTGCCAATAATTCACAGCCCAAAAAAAAATCTTTAAGTAAATATTTATTTTTATTTTCTTTTTTTAATTTTTGGATCAGAAGAAATCAATCAAATAGATATATCCATAGCTATCTGCAAAATTAGAAGCTTGATGTGCCTTTAAGTTCTTGATTCTGGAAGATATTGGACAGACACAAAGAGCGTAAAAAGGATCTATTTCAACAAATAATATTTCCAATTAACTGAAGAATAAAAATTATCTTTCTCTCTGTTGGAAAGCCACCACCTATCTATTTTAAAAGTGAAATATGCTACCCAGAAACCCAGTCCCTCACCAGCCTAGAAACCTCAAAAATAACATTTTCAGAAAATAATAAAAATACTATGCAGCAAAATAGATGGATATCAGAAGCAAAGGGAGTATTAAAAGTTGTCCACCTCTCAAGCAAGGTAAAGACTAAAATATGCAGTCAGTTAAATGAAACTGTCATTATTAATTAGCACTCCTACAATTCTTAACTTGTATCATTATGCAGCATGATTTTGTTCTAAAATGTTAACCATCAAACAGATGGCCCAGGTTTATCCAAATACATGAAATCCTGAAGAAAACCTTGAACCAGATAGGTAAAAGGTTGAGAAAATTCTTCTAGGAAATTGAATGAAGTGTTGAGGAAAAGGGGTAGAAACAAATATCAATTTCTCATTCCCAAGTTATTTTTCCAGAACCCAAGATATATGACATGGTATCTTCAAATCATATTACTGGTAGAATATCATCCATTTGAACACCTACAGTCTAACACAAATAACTATTCAGGCTTTCTATTACTCTGTTATTGTTTTTAACTTATCTGATTCATCATTTCGATCCTTTGCACATAAATCCACATTCAACCATTGTCGTGTAATACTAAGCCCTATTAATACAGGTTCTAAAAAAATACCAAATTATCATAGCCCTGAATCGTGCCCAACAACCTAATGGCAGTATCAACTAATTTGATATATAACCAATACCATATTATATATGGATAGATCAGCCTTATTTAGCATTGTGACCAAATAATTTTTCCAGATTACATTGGGGGACAATCACATTTAGGACTACAACTTTGATGAGTTTATTTTACAGTAATGAAAGTTTAATTTGTAATCCCCGATCAGTCAAAAAGAATTACAGTATGTTAGGTTAAGTTTTACCTAAAGAGGCGCCACAAAGCTGCTAATGCCTGTATCTGCTGTGAATACAAAACTGAGATCATCCAATGAAGAGTTGACACATGCAACGTCACTAGCACAATCATGTCTCTGACAAATGCAGCAGGTATAGTCATCCCAAAAAGAATTCCTAATACAGCAATTCCTTTGACCAAATAAATAAATAGATAATCCACAAAGAACCAGAGAGTAGACCATATTTGGATGGCATTAAGGGAAATCATGCCTAGAACTCCTGCCAATTCCGTATTCAACTTGAAACCTGCTGGCACTCCCATCAACCACACACAACCTGAACGCAGCAACTCATTTGTCATGTCATTGGCAAAGTTCAAAATATGCGAGCACACTGCTTCTGCATGAAACAAAAGTGCCAGACCAATCAAGTTCCCCAAAAGAACATCAACAGCCAAGCTTGACCACATGGAATGCCTATGTAATGCAGCTTTCTCTGCATGTTCCACACATGACTGAGACCTTCCAAATAAAAAAATCCATAATTACTACGAGGCAGTCCCAAAAGTAGAGACAAGAAGAGATCAAATATAAAGAGCTAAGATCTGAGCCTCAATTCAATTTGAGTCAGGCCAAATAATTAATATTCAACTGCTTAAGCATAAGCTTCTCAAATAAGTCAAGTAGATTCTGGGTGAAAGCCAGTGAATAAATTCAAAATTCCAAAATTTTCAATTCCTAGACAACTTAGCAAAGAAAAAAGAAATTGAAACTGAAATTTTTTCATTCTGTAGTAAGAAATCCAAATTATTTTGTATTCGGTAGAATCTTAAATATTAAAAAATATTTTGAATGGAATCAAATTAAAAAATCTAAATATCATCACAAGAGGAATCCCTTTCAATCAAAGAATTCCTAAATATTTTACACACACTGTGTTGTCACCTGAGGTCTTTGTCTTGAAGAAAAATTGGCCAATACAAGATCTGACCACATCGGATTTGGAAATTGATAAATGCAAAGTTGAATACCCTTGCTGATGCCATATTTATCCATGTTTCTGATGCAAATTTCAAAAGGCTATGGAGAAACTGAAGAAAAATATAAAACATGGTGGACAATGAAGCCACAGACACAGCCAATAACTGCCACACCAAGGCAATAAACCTAAAAAGCACAAAAAATATGGGCATTAGAAAGTGCAGACGAGATATATACACCCCCCCCCCCCCCCCCAAAAAAAAAAAATGCAGACGAGAACAAGGATATGAAGCAACAAAGTCCAGAAGATAATACATGCAAATAATAGAAAACTTCGCAAAAGATCCCTTGGAGCCCACATGTTTCTCAAAAACCATTTTGGAAGCTGTGGCACTGTTCATAGCCAGAACGACTGCTTCCTGGATTTGAAAAATTGAGGGAAAAAAATCGGAATCATATTAGAATAAATAAAGAAAAACTAAAATGGTATACTTGCACGAAAAAAGAATCTTGCAAACTCTTTTACCAAGTCATTAAGGGGCTGCTTCTGGTGAAGTTCATAGACCCACTTGGGTTTCTTCAAAAGAGCTTTCACTCGTTTAGAAGAATTCCAAAAACTCATGGAGAAATGATGTGAACCGTATCTGGGAGCTTCATAAAATATTACCTGATTTTTCAAACAAAAAGGAGGCAGCTTACCACCACAGATAAAAATAGTTTAAACATATATCATGCAGTAAAGTGATCATGACTTACATACGTGGACATCACACTGAGACAATATTTTCCCGTTCCAGTGCATATGATGCAATTTAGGAATCCAATGTATATTTCTACCATGAATTTCATGAGAATCATATACCATATGGATCCATTGACTGCTTCTGACAGCAGCTAGCCTATGTTTTTCTAATAAGCCATCGAGTTTGTTGCACCCACATTCACACCCATTATTCTTCTCTCTAGACCTAACCTTCCTGTTCAATTGACTCACAGCACCATCGTTTGAAGACTTACTTTGATTGTCATTTACCATATCAACCCTCAACAATTGATCATTTCTGCTTGGATATGCAGCACACTGACCCAGTAAAGAAAACATTGATTTGTCCTGTAAAAATACAGACATGCTACCATTTGTGTCACGGAGGATCTCCTGCTAACAAGAAAGAGGGTACACTGTAAGCAATAGTCCGGAAAACAATGTCCTTCATCTTGCCAACTTAAAATGCCAAAATACAATCGTCATAAAGTACTTAACACACATGAGAAATTTAAAGCAAGGGATAAGGTCAATCTCATGTTACAAGGAAAACTATATCAAAAGGAATCTGAAAATTTCTCTAACATTAATCCAATTAACTTGGAGTGTGTATATATAGAGATAATGAGTTCATCTTCCTGCAAACCTCCAGATTGTAAAGACTGCAACAAAATTACAAAACAAACAAAATTTTGCAAAGTCCTCCACTCAAAAGTTGAGGTCCTAATTCTAAAAACATATAACTTCTGTATGAAAGAATTTTCATACATTTGTAAATTTTGAAACAGAGTATACCTTAAGACTACATTGGCACCGAGAAAGTGAGACCTCATCACATGCAAACGCCACGATGATATCAAGAGAAGTGGATGCACAAGAGACAAACCAACCAAACAAAAAAGAGTACGAAGATGATTCACTTGAGGAGAGCTGCTTCGGCCACCAAATCCTACATTGTCTTCTCATTTTCACCTCAACATCATCGCATCAAAATCAAAATACTCGGTCATCAACACTCGCCTATTAACAAATTAACAAACAAGAAAAGCGCGCACATGAGATTGTACTGCTGCATAAAAAGAAAAACTACAATAAAAACGAAACTAAAACTTTCTAAGAGTAGTAGATCCAGTATTTAATCATTTTTTCCTTATTTTCCCGAACTTTCTCAGCAACCAAACAGAAAATCACGTTTTAACTAGATAAAGCACAGTTAATAAGACTAAAAGTTGGTTATTCATTAACAAAACCTAAACCTTTTAAGAAAACACAGTAATTAAAAGAAATAGATAGCTTACGAGCAGATGAAATCGACGCCAGTTCGGGATTTATCCAAAACGGTGAGTGCTAGTTCTTTCTAGTTTCCAGTTCATATCTGCGTCTTTGAAATCTCAGCTCTCAAGCAAATAAAATAAAAAGCCGTCGCAAACACTCCGCCTTTTAAATATACTTTTTATTTGGGCCTTCTTGCCGCAATGGGCCTGTAAAGCCTGGGCCGAGACAAACTCTAATAAGCTTCTTGGCCGTCTGCTCTTTCCGCTGGAATTTTCATCCGTCTCGTTATCCATGGCTCTGGCATACAATTACTCCAATCTTTTTCTCTGCAAACAATCAAATTTTGTTGTAACTTCAAATAAAATCCAGACGAAGAAGCGATGCTTGAGATGTAACACTCTGTATCTTGACAAAGATAATTCCCCACTTGCTTGCTCCTTCCACGGCCACACTACCGGTATTTTATTTTTTCTATTCATTTTATCATCCAGGAAAGCTTTTTGGATATCATTTCTTTTTGATCGTTGGATTTTTTTTTCTTGGAAGGGGAGAAAGGGTTGTTTTCATATGCTCCGCCGCACCAAGGGATTGATGGAGAGTGGAGTGACGGTTCTGGAGTGATCGTGTACAAGTGGAATGAGAAGGGAAATAGGCCAAATACCGGAAGAGTCAACTGGAAGAAAAGATGGAGCTGTTGTGCTGAGTATGACGAAAATGCTCCACCGTGTCGAAAAGGGTGGCATGTTTCTTATGATGATGGCTTCACGTTGTATTGATCAAAGACCGTAAATTTAGCATTTAGTTTGGAATTAACAGCAATATAATTACATGTTCTGTTTTGTGTTTACGAGTTCCGAGAGATTTGATCCAGATCATCCGGTGTTTTTTATCACTCATTTCAATGAACTTGATTGTAAGCTGTTATGCATTTTTTAGGAATTGTTCCTTTCTTCAACGGTAGATCATCTCAATGACAGTGGCAGAGCTTCTGAAATGAAGATTTGGATGAGTTAACTGTAACTAAAACGGTTAGAATTTCAGAATCTAGCTTGCTCGTTGATCATCTCATTGATTCAGATATTACATGTTGTCTCCTTAAATGCAAATTCTCAATAACATGAATGATTTTCAAGGCTCATTACTCTCAATCTAACAAGAACGAAAGATGCTAACTGGTAAAATCGATGCTCATTTTCTATTTAAAAAGAAAAGGAGAGAGAATTAAGCAACAATGAACATGTAATTACAGCAAAATCTTCCTTCAAAGTTATAATTGAAGATCAAACGTACTCAATATAAAGATCAATAACAACAACCTTCAATACCTCACTTTGTACACACGCACTATTAATTAAGAAGACCCAACAGTCTTAAAAGACTCATGAAGATGCCTCAATGTGTCCTGATCTCTGTTCCACTCCGGTGTGGGCGCATTAACAAAATGTGCGTAAAGCTTATTCCTTGCACAAGTCACAGTAATCAAACTGTGAGCACTAAGGCCATCAACTTCATAAACGTAATACAACTGTCCATTCTCATCCTTCTTCTCTAAAGACTCCACTTTATCAGCACTCGCTATCAAGTCCTGTAAATCCACATCACTCAAAGCAAGATTGTTCAACACAACATCCTTTGGCGCCAGCTGCCGAAACCCCGCCAAAAACGTTAAGTATTCTTTCTCAGTTCTTTTCTTCGGGTTATAGAACTCACTATCCGTTCCATTTGTTCCCTTCTCAACCTTTGAAACCAAACGTTCTTTCCACCCATCTGGGACGTCGTACACGTACTCCGCCGACGCTCTCTTGTCGGAGTTGCCCCCGTACCCGCCGTAGTTTGCAGCGCTGGCGGCTGTCCCGTAGTAAATGTTGAATTTTTGTGCAGGGTCAGCAAAGGATGGAGAAGTTGTGAGGAGGGTGGTAGTTGCTAATGTGGCAGTTAGAAGGGTGGTTAGAGGTGGTTTGGTGGCGGGGAAAAGTATTGGTTTTGGTGGGGTTTTGGTTGTGGTAGTGGTAGTGGTGGTGGCCGTGGCCGTGGCGGAGGAAAGGATCGCCGGTGCTGAGAATATGGTGGCCATGGAATAATTGGCTAAGCGGATTTGGTTGGTTCTTAGACTATGTGATTTTTACTATATGATAGCTAGATTTTCCTTATCCATATAGTGCCATGTCATCTATTTAAAACTTTCCCATTTTTTATTTTTTTAATTAATAAAAGCCTTAAATGAAATTATTTAAAAATTAGAAGATTCTTTAACTATATTTTACGACTCTAAATAATCCTATTTAAAAAAAATTACAAAAATAAAAATGGATGATTAAACTAACTAAAATCTATTGCATTGGGGGATTCAGCACAAGGGTATTTTGGGGTTTTCAAGAGAAACGGCATATCTACCGCCAAAAGAACCCTAGACTCATGTTTCTTTCTTACATGAATCAATGATGGAATTTCACGTGCCTCCTTCGTTTTCGCTCTCGTTTNGGTTGGTTCTTAGACTATGTGATTTTTACTATATGATAGCTAGATTTTCCTTATCCATATAGTGCCATGTCATCTATTTAAAACTTTCCCATTTTTTATTTTTTTAATTAATAAAAGCCTTAAATGAAATTATTTAAAAATTAGAAGATTCTTTAACTATATTTTACGACTCTAAATAATCCTATTTAAAAAAAAATTACAAAAATAAAAATGGATGATTAAACTAACTAAAATCTATTGCATTGGGGGATTCAGCACAAGGGTATTTTGGGGTTTTCAAGAGAAACGGCATATCTACCGCCAAAAGAACCCTAGACTCATGTTTCTTTCTTACATGAATCAATGATGGAATTTCACGTGCCTCCTTCGTTTTCGCTCTCGTTTATCTCTCACCTCTCTTTTTGCTTGCCCTGTTAAAACAATCAACCAGTCCTTTCATTGATTTTTAACTTCTAGGGTTTCAATCGCTTCTTTAGAAGCATTTTATATAACACCCTTCTCTTTCTTTTCTTCTTTTTAATTTTATTTCGACATGTCTAAGAGGTATCTTCTATCTCCCTCCTCTCTTTTTTTGCAGTTTTGATTTATTGATTGAATTATCACGATGATGATGATGAAGATTGATGAATTTGATTTCATTATTTGTCGCAATTTTAATCTTTAATTTACTGTTTCTATCTTGTTAGGTGTATGATGCAAGTGTATTTTTTGTAAAGCAAATAGAATTATGTTTGAATTTTGATCATTTCATTTGATTTTTAGTTTTATATATGAGATTTTGTCATTCAATTGATCAGGGAATGGAATTGAGTGAAATTAGGGATTGATTTTGAGGTTTTTGATTGTTGTTTGGTTCATCTTGCTTGCTCTTTTAATAATCTTTTATTTTTTGATTTTTCAGGGTACTGTGCAAGTTCTTTGCTCATGGAGCATGTCTGAAAGGCGAGCATTGTGAATTTTCACATGATTGGAAGGATCCTTCGAATAATGTAAACATTTTTAGTTCTACTCGCTTGGTCCATAATATTTATGAAAAGTGATTTTTGGTCTTCTCATTGCTTCTTACTGTTTTATCATCTTAGATGTGCACTTACTACCAGAAAGGAGTCTGCTCATATGGTAGTCGATGTCGATATGAACACGTCAAGCATTCTCGATCTGAGTCATCTGCTTCATCTTCGTCAACAATTTCTCGTCCTTCAAGAGCTGTTTCCAGTGGAGTAACTACAGTTCCTGGAGCTGTTCCAGAGCTTTCTGCTTTGAGTAGACCTTATCATCCTCCTGATATACCAGTATGGAATTTGGATTCTGGGTGTAATGATTCTTTAGACAATGTTGATGTGGTGGAGCCAAGGAATCTTAAACCAGCTGATCTTTCAATCTGTTCTTTTGCTGCTGCTGGTAATTGTCCCCGTGGGGAAAAATGTCCTCATGTTCATGGAGACATGTGTCCAACTTGTGGGAAGCATTGTTTGCATCCTTTCAGACCTGAAGAAAGAGAAGATCATTTGAAAACATGTGAGAAAAAGCAAAAGCACCTTGAGGCTTTAAGACGTAGCCAGGAAATAGAATGCAGTGTGTGCCTTGATCGTGTTTTATCAAAGTCGACACCAGCTGAACGAAAGTTTGGATTGTTGTCTGAGTGTGATCATCCATTCTGTATATCTTGTATCAGGAATTGGCGTAGTAGTTCCCCAACCTCTGGAATGGATGTCAATACTGCATTGCGGGCTTGCCCAATTTGCCGCAAGCTATCATACTTTGTCATTCCAAGTGTCATTTGGTATTACACACCAGAAGAAAAGCGGGAAATTGTTGATAGCTACAAGGCAAAACTCAGGTAATTCTGTTGCTATTAATGTGTCGTATCCCTGGTTTCTTAATTTAACTGCTGACATTTTCAAGTGATTTTTGAACATGCCTATCATGCAGTTGGAATAATTTTGAGGATTAGGGTTGCAATTTGTTAATATGTGGGAAAAAAGAGGATATCTATTTTCTTGCCTTTCATGTCATTGGAAATTCAAAAGGCATTGACAAAGTTGTGACTTTTAATATTCTACGGGCAATTTGACTATAGTTTGAATAATGAAGAGCAATTTAGATATCTTAAGAACCAAATACATGTAAAAAGAAGTTCCCAGTAGAACATGAATCTTATGCATCTTGGTGGACAATAGTTTTAGATATTAGGTTTCAATTCCTGATATGTGAAGAGAAATGGGATAATCTATTTTCTTTTAATCCTACTGATGGAGAAAAATTTTGAGATAATAAGTATGAGAATTTCTGGTAGTCATGGTCTTGGAGGTAACTCTTTTCTTTAAACTTTCTTGTAGGTCAATTGATTGCAAACACTTCAACTTTGGTAATGGGAATTGCCCATTTGGAACTAGTTGTTTCTACAAGGTAACTTATATATCTATATGAACTGCAGCTGCTCAGTTATGCATTTTTTCTTCTTTTTCTTTGTAGTGTGGAGCTGGTTATGTTGTGAATTTATCGGAACATGAACAACTTTGTATCACTTGTATATGCTTGTTGAAGGCCATGAAAAAGTTGGAGGTTCTTTATTATTCCCTTGCTGTGTTCCCCTCTTTCTGTTTTAGTGGTAATCGTGTATATTTGTTATTTACTCTGGTTGTCTTTTGTGGTGCTTTAATTATCGTTCCTGCCTATGGTATAATCTGGTAAAGATAAATTTGCAACCTTTTCTGTGGCTTAGATGAATGGACGATTGTGGGAAGCAGAGAGATTATTTATGATTTAATCTAATTTTATATTATGTTTTGTTTAACTTTCTGTAGTTTATAAATTGGATGAATATCCACTCCATATTTGCTATAATGCGAGTGGTCTTTAATCATGTAGACGAAACTTAAAAATAATGTGCAAACATGTGTATAATATTATGCATCAGTGTCAATACACATGCTAGCTATAGTATTTTGTTTCGACATGCTTTTGTTCTTATTCATGACCATGCAAAATCTTTCACCTTGTTGGTCATTTGTGCTCACCTCCAACAGCTGCAATCAGGTTTCAAGTAGTGGACATATATATTACTGTAGTAATTGAAGATTTGTTCTGGGCTTGTTGGAGGGTCTATTACTCGGATAAATAGAGTATGTGTTTTACCCGTACATTTCTTCCATCATCTTAGTAGGACATTCTCTTTTACCTACTGCTGTCACCTCCCTTCCTAGGTGACACCATTTGGCAAATCCATCCCTCATTGTATTGCTTCTGTTAGAGATTATATAACTACCCTCTCCATCATCCCATCATCACACGCACTGCAGTTGTTTGCTGCTATTCATGGGGCCTGTCATCTTTTCTACTGTCTTGTTCGTTGTGAAATGTGAAATATTGCCATTAAATTTTGCAACTTAGTGAGCTTAAATTTGCTCAGAGATCGTTCCCTTCAGAAGTCATTTGTAGGCCATGACACTCCCTCAATATGTATATCCGTATTATGAAATTTCAACTCTCTCTATTCACATTATTTTTCAATCAGTAATATGATGTTTTCTCTTTGCTTTTAGTGAATTCATTGATTACTGTAGCATACGGGTAGAGCACATTTTGCTGTTTGTGTTATCAGTCACTTGGATTTGGTTCTGTTCCTAGAGATTCTGTTGAAATGGATCTATAGTAGGTAGTGTGATGCACGTTTTTTATGTATTTTACTTTTATAGCTCGTAGCAGAGAGTGGTGGCTTATGACTCCTTTAATGGATAGAATGTTGTGTTGTGTTCCAGCATATGGTCAAGCCAGGCTCATACATGTGGAAATATCACAGACCACCTCCCCGCAGGCCACCTCCACGCAGATCCAATATTGTGGATATGGATTCATTTATTGATGCATTCGAGCACCTAATTGCGGAAGATGAGCCAGATATTTTTGATGTTGATTTTGAAAATGAAGTTAGAATGTCTTTGGATTTGGAGATGGCTTTGTTATTAACGCAACTGGACTTTGAAACAAGTGACTCAAGTGATAATGAGAGTTATTCTGATTAAGCTAGTAGGACTAACTATGCTATCTCCAGTCCATTCTGTGTTGGACGTTTTGAGTTGTAGGCATACTGGCTTTTGGTAGCCTACTACATTTTGCATCATGGAAAGATAAAGCTTATGGGTTGTTTAACCTTTTTGTGTTTTTTGTGTTTTTTTTTTTTGGGACATCTAAGTGGTGTTAATCATAATGAAGTCTAGTTCATTATGATTTTGATTTTCTTTATCTATTGACAATAAATGGTATACTGCAATATTGGCGATGACCTACCTGGAAAAATGTTCTCTATTGGTTGATGTGTGTATCTTAGCGAGGTGAAAGTTTATAGCACATATTATTCTGTTATCCGATTAAAATAAAATTTTTGCTTATAGAGTTGTATTTGTTTTGATGTGCATGTCATTATGGTTTTGTTCCTGGACTTTGCTATGTTGTTTGCAAAGATGGCTGTCTGAGAGGGAAGATCTTCTCATCTTAATACTCTTTGTTTTGTAATTATATGTTATCCTGTATGATTTTTGTGAAGCCTGTACCAATAATTCACTATAATGAATTGATTAAGTTTAGCTGTAATTAGTTTTTGTTTATGCATATTTGTTTGCAGCATGCATCTCAAGATGGCCGTTCGGAGGAAGTTGTTCTCCGTCACCTTGGGGCTGAAGATGGAAACACGGTGATAGCCAAAGATATCAGGTTTATTATGCTCTGATAATTAAAAAATAGTGTTGTTTATACTTACAATGTATTCCTTCTTCTTTTTCTGGTAATAGAAACTCTATTTGCTAACTAGATTTGGGTTGTTTACAGGCTGTCAGACTTTCTTAGTAATATGCATATAAGGTGAAAAGCACTGCTAGAGTCTTCCAGTGTAAGTTTAAATAAATTACTCCACTGGAATATGTGAGGTCACTAACTTATTTGTTGTTGTATTTATATGGAAGTCTCCTCCAATTGTGAGGCATCAGGTGCATATTATTGCTTGTTGAAACCCTGGTTCATGAATGCAGGATATCAAATATGTCTATATATGCTGCAACTTTGATGTGGAAGTCCTCTTCTATTGTCGGTGTCATACTCTAGTTATTTTTGAGGTAAGGTGATGTTATTTGAAATCTTATGGTGTCTACTCTCTATATTACCTTAGTCCTTTTCTAAAATATTAATAACCTTATTTCTTTTAGTTGTCAAGATTGAAGATTTTATTTCAGTGAATTTACTTTTAGGGGGCAATTGGTCTTTACATAGTTTGAATTTGAAATATGTTATTTGAAGTTCAAATTTCTTATAAAATCCTTGACAGAACATTTGGGCCCGCTACTCTCCAACTTTTCTTACTGCATATGATGCAGTTTGATATTTTCCTATTCCTACCCCTAGGATTCCTTCTAATTATGCTTTAGCTGTGCATCAGTAGTTTTTGTCGTCATATAAGGTAGTTAATGATATGGAATCAAATGACTAAATTTTAGTAATTGCATTAGAAAATTTATAATTTTCAGAATTTAAGTCTCAACTAGGTTCAGTTTTCTTAATTAAAATTTTGTTATATCCTTGCACTAATTGATTGTTGTTACTGGTTGCCTTTCTTTTCCACTGTTCATAACTGGGGACTCAGTCTCTATCCCACGGGGGCTTTTGGTCTACCAAAACCTCCATCGGTGTGGATTCTCCACATGCAAAAAATTTTCCATGTTTGTATTATTGAAGTATTTGGTGTTGTGAAATGCAGGATTGCTTGCTGAGTGAGTCTTTAAATGAGGGAGGCTGGAGCATGGTGTGGGTTGCATAATATAAGATCTGAATTAAATAAGATTGATATGACAGGAGTGATGAATTTGAAATAAAAATATAATGTGTCAGTTTCAGAATATTTTTTAACCCACTTGGCATGGCATCCGTCCCCAAAACTGTATGTATTTTGCGACTGGGTTTTATTTGGATGGTTACCAGGTTGTTCCCTTTTTCTCTCAAAAAGGATTTGTGAGATACCCTGGTAACATATATTCTATACCCTGCATAACACAGAATGTTGTACTGTAAGTGTATACAAGAAAAGCTTTGAAATCTATAAAAGCTAAAGCCTACCCTTGAATATATATTCTGGTTATTCTACTTTCTCTGGTATTCTTATGTTAAGAAAATCAAATTTACATTTGATAAAACGATCTTTTTTCAAGCAGCAGATTCCCTAGACTTTAGCTTCAACTGTACACTTTTTGATTAGTTCTAGACAAAGCTCTAAAGCTCTAAAGTTGAGAGCTAGCCGTTGGTGTGTTGTTGAGTATTGACAGGTTGTTACACGACAAGTTCAAGTGGCTAAGAAAGTTTTAAAGTTCTCTATAAATGAATCTATTCCAAGAACATCAATCATTCATGCATTTAATGCCACGTTGCCAATTATATCTATAAATAGTGTCTCGTTTTTGTTCTCGACAATTACATGAGTGAGAGTGACCCGGTTTTACTGCTTCAAGAGGGCAAGCAGGGATAAGATAAAGATGAGCAAATCATAACCTGAGAGGCTCCAGAAGAGTACGCAACTCCTTTGTGCCATTTCAGATTCTTGACCCAATAATACCACTTGATAATGACACTAAAGCGATTGATACCCCAATTTTGAGTCATTTCAATAAAGAAGAGTAATAATTGTAATTATAAGTAATAATAGGATGGTTTGATTATAAAGATTAAGGTAAGGTCCCATATTATAAAAAAGATGGACAGGTGAGCCACGTTGACAGCTTAGAAAAGTCCAAGTCCAAAGAAGGGAAAGGAACTTGTATTGTATTTCATATTTGTTTGTTCAACTGCTTCGCTTCCAAGGTCCTCAATCAATGTGAAAACCTCATAATAGAGTAGACTTTTATCTCATAATAATATATTGCTTCTGTTTTTTTCAAATGTTTCTGGCTCTGCTACAATAAATAATGTCATGATCAGAACCTTGGAATTCAATGCCATTTGTTGGGTTCATTATAGGAGTTATCAATTTTATAACTATAACTCCTAGCCTACATATAATATGTTTTGCTTCTTTGACAATTGTACCAATGCTTCTAAAACATGTACCAGTAAATACAATTAAGTCTTTTTCCATTATGTGTACTGAGGCCAACTCAAACATGTGTAATTTACAAGCATCTAAATGAGTATGTGACAATGGATGAATATAATTGGGTTTCTTATCTTTGTCTATCCATTTTTCATTAACGAGTTTCTATATACTTGAAATTTAGGTACAAAGGGTGGGATTCTATTCTATGAACCCAAAATAACACTCTGTTACACATTAATACAATTTTATATCCTATTTTTAATAACTTTTCAAGTTTTTTATTGCCTACTTTATTGATTATTGTCTTGAAATTATAAGAATTAAGAGTGAAAATCAATATTTTGTCTTGAAATAATATGTGGTGTCCAGATTATACTGCAATTGCCAACTTAATCTGTCTTGCAGAACTGAACTGTGGATTAGATCAACTGGTAAAACTTTGAAAACAGAGAGCATGGAAGAGTAAAACAATAAATTGTATTTACGATCCCCATAAAAAACTTCTTTTGATTTTAAACTATCAGATTGAAACAATGATTTATGTTTGATGATGATAATAGAACGTTTCAGAACGCATAAGTTCAATAAGATTATAAATTGAAGAAAACAGAGGAGAAAAAATATACATGATAATAATAATAATACAAATCTCTTTTATTCCAATGTATAATAACAATAAATAGTATAGCAAATATATATAACAACAATGAATGAATACAAACTCAAGAAATAACTCTCTCAAATCTCAAAACAAACATCCCTTCATCGATCCACCCATTATATAATATAATATATATGTGTATATGTATATAACCAACCAACCCAAGATCTCAAAAACCCTCCATTTATATATCAATCTACTGCTTCAAGAAAGCAAGAACTGACAATAACAATGAAGAACAAATCACAGCACCAGAGGCTCCAAAAGAATACGCAGCTCCCTGCTGTACAGAAGGAGTTGGAGCCGGAGAAGCCACATCTTGAGCTGACACGCCGCTCAAAACGACGGCGCAAACCACTGCCATAACAAGAGCCAAAGCATTAACTCCTTTCAAAGCTGCCATTTTTTCTTCAAAAAGAAACGAAAGAGGTGATGAAAAGTGGAAGGCTTGTTTATAATATTTATGACTATGCGACAATGGATGAATGCAATGAATGAGAAGAAGAGAAGTTTAAGAGAGTATTTATAGGGATCTGTGTGTGTAAACGGTGATATTTAAAACGCGTGGACCCAGTAAGAACGTGGACAGCTGGTGCTGGGAACTGGCCACGTTTAGATTCAAATTTTTTTTTTAAAGAGTTTGGAAGGAAGAAGAAAGCGGCTGGTTGGGCTGCCAGGTTAACGTTGAACCAGTGTTTCTCTGACTAAACTAAATAATAATACTATTCAGTTGAAACGGTTAACCTAACCTTGATATCTTTACTTATTTTAAACGTAATTTAAACGACAAGTCGGTGAGACGAAGCTTCTTCATACGTTGGACTTTTACTAGTTTTAGAATATCTTCCATGCCTTATCGGTTTGTTTAAATGTGGGCTTTCTTTTCTTAGGGTGTAAGAATGATGTTAGTTAGTTAATTAAGGATGTTCTACTTGATAATGGGCCAGAAAGCCCAATTAGAATTGCCGACTGTTTGGACATCCATGAATTATAATCAGGCTCAAGAGCCATCCTATTCCAATTTTATCGATTATGACAAGGAATAAATAAATCATAATTGATGAAACTCAAGTAATACAATTACAAGCCAAGTAATGCAACTATGAATATCATGGAGAGTTCGATCTTGACTCAGGATGAACATTGGCGACATGTTTAACACATGAAAGTCATACAAGAACTAGGGTTTTTAATGGCAAACGAGTGAGTAATGTATAAGAATTAGTCTCATGTCTGAATCTACCTAGGGTTCATAGTGGTGGAGAAACTGGTTCGAAAGAAAGAAGAATTCTAATTATAAGTATCTAATGAAATCATCGCTGGAATTAAGATCTCATTCAAAGATAAAGATATCAAATATCTGACTTTTATTTCATTGAAGAAATTTGAGATGTTGAGTGAAGATAGAGTTGAAAGCATCCATTTTGCCCTTTGGTAAAGCCAACCCAATTTCGATTCCACCCTTCAGAAATCTGCTCTCACTAAATGAAATGCCTCTCATTTTGTCTATAGAAATCTCCTCTATTTTCTTAGGCGTTCCCCACCCAAAATCAGTCTGATACAAGTCCAATTTCGGTGACCCGGCTATAGTAACATGGAGCTCCGATCCGAAAAACACTTCATAATCCGATATCCATTTCTCTGCCCCTTCTAATATTGATTTATCCAACTCTTTAACCTTGTTTCCAATCTGATTTGCAGCAACAATTATCCCATCTTCTCCTAATAATTCACCAGTTCTTGCCATGCAACGAGCAAAACCTATACAATTTCCAAAATATGAGGCGGGTACCGGATAATCCAATCGGGTTATGGCGCCCGCATTGAACCCGAAGTAACTAACATCCTTGTGGCTAAAATTTTTATCATCTACTCTAGCTTGTGCTTTCATATAACAAACCCAAACAAAAGCACAAGTTAGATTCGAAGGTGATAAATGTGTTGGGTTTGACCTATTCTTCTTCTTGCATTGAGAAATAATCCATTGCTTGATCTTCTCCATATCAATCGGGCTAACCAGTAATGTAGCTCGAACCATGTTACCAAAATCTACACTGATCTGGTTAAATCTTCGATTGCACCATTCATTCAAGAAGATTTCTCCGAGCCCATTGGTGTCTTTTATAACTAAACGATCATAAAACGGCTGCAGGGACTTCAACAAGCAAGAAGAAGAGTCATGGCGGTCTCTGTAAAATGAGCTCCATGTCTTCATGAAATGATTAAACGTCCTTCCATCTGCAGCAACATGGTGATATGCAAATGCTATACATATACCAACGCTAGAAAAAACTGTTATTTGCACTGCTAGTAAGGGAAGGACAGTTTCATTTAAAGTTTGGTTGATGCTTGGTAAATGTGGCACTAGAGGGTAAAATTCTTTAGTAAAACGTTGATGATTGGCTGATAAATGGTTAAAATCGTCCGTAGATTCAGCAATGGTGAGTGAAATGTAATCACCTTCGGAGTAAACAATGTGGGGTTTGTTTATGGAGGCTTGTGGGTGGAGTTTTAAGGTTCCAGCGAAAGGGAAGAAGTGTTGAAGAGTGACGGAGAGAGAGAGCTTGAGGTCGGGGAGAGTGGTGGAGAGAAAATGGGAAGTAGGGTAAGGATATTCATAGAAGAAGAGAGTCTGATTGGGAGGGAAGAAAAGCCAAGGAATGTCAAAGAAAGTGAGAGAAAATGAGGTTGGTTTTGTTGAATTTGGAGGTGGAGAGACCTTGTAATGCTCAAGAATTTTCACCGGCGAGGGTTTATGATTATCCATGAAGAAAGAATCAAAGTGAGAGATCGATCTCAAAGTAAAAATGTTGCCTTCAATAATTGAAATGTTGAATGATAAATGATTTCATTTTCATGGTGATTGGACGTGCATTATTTGAATTTGAGTGACATGTTGAATAATTTTGATAAATGGGCAGAGGTATATTTCACAAGAACCACAAATATGTACAGATTCAATTTGGTTCACGAATTGGTGCTTCAATGTGTCGGTATATTTATTAGGAGCAGAATTTAATTAATTCTAGCGTTGAGTGTATGCTTTAATTCACAGTGGCTCATCAGAAAATTTACTGGTATTTTTATTTGTTATATGATAAACGAGTTTTAGCAGAACTCATTTTTAAAAATTAATTTAAAGGAAAAGAGAATCTTACCACGTGTATACCTATTATGCTTTTATAAAACTATATAATTTTAAAAATATATATCATCATGCTTACACATGTACATAATTATTTATTATTGTATTAGAGTTAAAAATTCATAATTAAATCCATCTCAATTTCTAAAGGAAACTTAGGTGACCTACTTGATACTATACTCGAATAATATAATCGAAGCATCAAGAGACGATTTTCCTCTTTATCTTTTTCATAGATTTTGAAACACATAAAGGATTTGCATTATTTCATGTCCCCCACGTTATCAAAAGCCGAAGGGTTACTCTAAAGTTTGGTAAAATTTTGTCATTGATGAAGATGACAATTGACAAATATATGTAAATAATGATAGAATAAATAAGCATTTTCATGGAAGCACTTTGAGACCTTGATTGAAGAGAAAGTTGAAAGCATCCATTTGAGATTTAGGTAGAGCTATCCCAACTTCAATCCCGCCTTCGAAATCTCTACTCTCTGTGAGTGAAACTGCTTTCCTTTTCTCAATTGAAATCTCCTCTATTTTCTTCGGCCTGCCCCACCCGAAATCCGTTTTATAAAGATCCACCTTTGGTGACCCACAAACCATAACATGGAGATACGACCCGAATAACACTTCCCAATCTGATATCCACTTTTCAGCTCCTTCAAACATCGCTTTATCCAACTTTTTTATTGTGTTCCCTAATGAATTTGCTGCAATAATTATCCCATCTTCTCCCAATAGCTCTCCAACACGTGTCATGGACCGACCAAACCCGATACAGTTACCGAAATATGGAGCGGGCACGCTATAGTCCAACCGACTTAACCCGCCTGCGTTGAACCCGAAAAAACTTGGATCCTCAGCTAAACATTTCTCATTACTGTCCTGAATGAATGATTTTATCAAACAAACCCATACAAAGGAACAAGTTAGTACATATGGCGATAAGTGAACCGGCTGTGCCCAGTTCCTCTTTTTGCATTGAGCTATAATCCATTTTTTGATCCTCTCCATGTCATTCAAGCTCACTACAAAAGTGGCTCGAGCCATTTCAGGCAAATCTATCTCGGTTTCAGAACCTATAACCATTTCTTTCCTCTTGAACCACTCCTTCCAGAAGATCTCTCCAAGCCCATTTCGATCAACTATTACATTACGATCATAAGATGGAAATGACTTCATTAAGAAACAAGAATCCTTACAAAATGACGCCCACGTTTTGATGAAATTGTTGAACGTTCTCCCATCAGCAACAACATGGTGATAAGCTAACCCAATGCATAAACCAAACGTGGAAAAGATTGTGACTTTTACAGCAAATAGAGGAAGAGCTTCGTTAACACGTACTGAACTCGTTTTCAAGTCCGGTACAAGAGAGTGAAACTCGGTGACATCTCGCGGATGATTCCCCGTTAAATGAGTGAAATCGCCATCAGACTCAGCGACGGTGAGTGAAACAAAGTCGAACTCGGTACAAACAATCTTCGGCTTTTCATTTGTGTGAGAGGAAAGGACAAGATTTCCCGCGAAAGGGAAGAAGTGTTGGAGAGTGAGGGAGAGAGATTGCTTGAGAGTCGGGAGAGTGGTGGATAGAAAGTGAGACGTGGAGAAATGATAGTCATAGAAGAAGAGAGGTTGAGTTGGAGAAAAGAAAAGCCAAGGAATATCAAAAAGAGTTAAGGGAAGAGTAATGTTGGGGTCTGATAATGGAGGTGGAGAGATTTTGCAGTGCTCAAGAACTTTAACAATGGAGGTTTTCGCCATGAGAGAGAGTTTGTTTAATTGATTTTTAAGAGCACCAACAAAAGTTGCGTTAAAGGACAAAAATACTTCTGATATTGTTGCCAATTGCTGGGAAGATATTTTTATTTTTTAATGGGCTTTATTTTAGAGTAAACGAAATTTTCCCACCCACCCAAGGTTCGATTTAATGACAATTTCTCACCCAAAAAGTTTTAAAATACTATTTTCCCACCTAAAGTTAATATTTGTTACTATCCAAAATTGGTTACGACTAATTCCATCCGATTTCGATGGAAAAAATTATCTCTATCACCACCATTTGAATTTTCAATCTCCTCTCTATAAAACTTCTTTCACTAAGACACTTGATTTCTCATCAATTGTCAATCACTATAAAGCTAAGGTTTTTCTATTTGTAGTTTATTTCCAGTCCAACTGATTTTGGTGACAAATTTTTAATCAATTACTACCATTTGATCCACTAACCTCCACTCTACAAAACCATTTACCCTGACTCCTAATAATTTGCCGAACGCCGATTAAGAAAGTGAAATGTAGTTTGGATATTAACAAAATATAAACTTTGAGTGAAAAAATGGTATTTTTGAACAATTTTTGGGTGGGAAAGTCATTAAGCAAACCTTGGGTGGGAAAAAGTTATTTACTCTTTATTTTATAGTAAAAAGAAAAAGAAATGTAGTGACTATCAGTTAGACTTCGGAAATATCATTAATTCAAATTTCAATTTTTTTTATCAATTTAACATCTGAAAAAATATATTAACCTCTTAACATTGTTGATAAATTTTGGTAAAACTGTTATTTTTTTTTTAAAATTTAAATAGAATAACCTAACATCAAATAAAAAATAAGAGTTAAAATAGCATTTCTAAAACTAGTGGATATTCACTACAAACAAATATCGAACACATGAGATTATGTCACATTTTTTAAAGAGTAATACTAGCCTTACAAAGAGGCATACAAAGAGTCAAATTCAGTCTTTGAAATTCATGATTGCCTCTTTTTCTCTTTCAAGAGCTGGATTTGACTCTTTGTATGCCTCTTTGTAAAGCTAGTATTACTCTTTTTTAAACTAGCAAAGCAGATACTCACCTTAACAATAATTATATTTCCTCTTTCAATTGTAAACCCTAATTCTATTTCCAAACAATGGAAATGAAATTTATGCAATTGAAAGAGTTTGATCAAGATCATTTCAATACTAAATTATTTGTTTTTTTATAAGACAATTGTTGCATTCAAAACGGTCTTTGAACAGTATATTCAAAATAAGAAGCATAAAATATATTAAAAATATAATTAAAAAGGTATTTTTGAAAATATATAGGGTTTAAAAAGACATTTACATATACTAAAACATTTTAATAGTGTATATTTAAAAATGGGGTCGGAAAAGATAAAAAAATATATGGGGGTCAATAGCACAATTTTCATAATTTATGTATAAATTTAGCAGTAGACTCGGTCAAAAAAAATGAATAAACCAGGGAAATATACACCTTCCGAAGCTGCTTCACCATCACCTCCCTCCTCATATTCAAGTCCAAGTTCAAGTGGGAGTGCGTGTGATAGCTTGTCGTCTCGTCGGTGATTGAGTACATTATTGGAGCAGTTGCCATGTCGTTTATTGCTTGTTACTTGGAGTAAATTTTGATATTGAAGTCCCATTACAGAGGACAGAAAACTGGGGAAATATTTTAGAGTTCATGCGTTGTTTGAATGTACATTTATATCTTCGTTCATTCTCTAAACGATGCATGATTCTTTGATTTATTTTTATATTGATTTTGATCCAATGATTTGAAAATGTAGTTTTTTTAAACTCTTAAATGCATTCTTATAAATTCAATTTTCTTTGGATTATGCTCAATCGTATGTTAAATGGATGAGAAGGGCAGGCCTGCATTGGAATCAGACAATGTCCTTCGGCCTTCAGGAACTTGGCCTTACAGATGAAGAACAAGAGTAAATATTCATACAGATTGTGAGCTGTGACACAATTTACCTACGTGGCAAAACAACCCATTTACAAGAATGAGTCGCAGCTGCCCTGTGGATTAATCCTCGCACCAAATTTAAAGCATGCATTGGAGCTTCGTGTGTGACCCACCACCCACAATCTCAGAGACTTCCCTTTATACAAACTTGAGAGTCCCTTCTGATATCCAACTCACCCACATTACAACTCTTGGAGATATGGGTTCCATGAAGGCCTCTTTTGTTGCAGGAGCTATATTACTGCTTCTGGCAATGGTGGAGTCAAAACTTATGGTGAATGCTGATGTTATAGCTCCATCGCCGGCCATGGCTACCGGATTAGCTTTTGCTTCTTCAGCTTCAGTGGCCATTGTGGGGACTTGTCTTATGTTTTATGTTCTTGGTGTTCTCATCAAGTAATAGGCTTTCTTTCATATATTGTTGGTAGAATGTAGTTTTGTGTGTAATGGCTTCGCTTTTATACAGGCAGTATTAGTGTTTCTAATAGCATTCTAAAATGAAAAAAATGCTAAAATTTCCTCAAATTGCAACATTATGTGACATTCTGCAATTTTGTTCTGGTAATTTTTGCTAAAAATCGCACCATAACAAAGAGAAGATGATAGCACACGATGCCAAAGAGGTGAAGAAGAGTTCAAAGAAGAAAGCACAGGTGATACAGAAGAATAGCAGGGTACAGTTATCCAGACAAATTCACATACGGTATGATATCCTTATCCAACTGCACAAAATCTGAAGCACACTTCAGATTTGCCATTAATTAAATTCACTAACCAATTAAGGACCCAACTGATCTGATTCCATATAGCAAGAGAATTAAGTTCAGCAATCCTTAAACGAGTAACCCGATTACAAAAAGATCAGAGACTATATAAGACCATTCAATATGAATGCCCATTGTATTTTTCTCCACCAACCACAACACAATCGAACCCCTCCTCCTCAATCAAAATCTATACAGTATGAATTCTCTGGCATAGAAACAAAATCAATTTTTAAGTTTAACCATTTAACTTAAGGAAATATAAACAATTCTTCATTTCATACTAAAAGCAAAACTGCTTGTTTATTAAGTAAAAGCCAAGAGGCATCCACAATCATATTCAACTCCTCAAAGAGATTCAAAAAAGCTAACAAGACAACAAATTGAAGTCAATTAGATAATAAAATGAACACCAATCCAAAAGACATTCCTGCAATGCACAAGTAACTAACCCCCTGAATCCGGGTAAAGAACACATTCAAATTCTTAACGACCTGAAGAGTTAAAGTCAGAATCTGCAACCTGCCTTGCTCCTCCATCTTCTTAAAGAAATACATTGGCTTCAAAGATCGTCTCAACATAAAAGCCAACGTAAATGGAAACCCAAAAGCCACAAAACTCTGTATTGAAAGCTCCATTAGCGGTGATGATCGTGTAACGTACGAAATCCAAGCTCCTAAACCTAATTGACACAGACCCAGAACAGCAACGACTCTGCTTAGACTATATATTTTCCTCATCATTTCTTCAAGAACTTGTCTGGTCTCATTAGCTAGAGCTGATAAATCACGTTCAACAGTCGGGCCTTCGATTTCTTGGTGCTTGAAATCAGGGTTTTGACTAGGGTACTCACTCCGGTTCTCTTGAGGTTTCTCAGGATCAGAGGTTGAAAAAAATCTAGGGTTTTTAGATGAAACCAAATCAGAGAAGAGAGAGTTAGATTTTGTGAAAGATGGCAAATTGGAGATGGGTTTTTGATGGTGATTGACAGGATTAGAAAAGGTCGAGATGAAACTGGAGATATTGAAGCTAATGTTTAAGGATTTCTGGTGTGAGAAAGATGAATTTACGTGGTTAAAATTAGGGTTCGATAGAGAAAGCGGAGAAGATAGAGAGCGTTTGAGCAGTCTGCGAGAGAGAATGGCTGCCATTGTGGTTTCCTAAAATTGAATCTGATTACGAAGAAAAGTTTGACCGGGATTTAATTTTAATTTATATACACGGTCGAAGAGGAGAAAATGTACTTGGGCTCTATACAGCATCCAATAAAATGAAGGCAAGTCAGCAAATCAACAGGGAAGATACTATAAGAATTCCAAAGTAATTGCATTGATGACATTGATGCCTAAAAAGGCTCTTGCTCTGCGCCAAATAATCGCTGTAAGACAGTAAGAGTATTAATCAGCAGCGTAGTCTTGCGAAAGTGCCTCTTCAAGCCTTTGCATACAGAAAGAACAACATTATCATGAATAAGCCCATCAAACTTGACAATGTATATACAAGGTAGTAAACCAGGTCTCTTCAATTTTCTTTTCATTTCCTCCCTTGTTTTTTTTTTTTTCTTTTTTTTCTTTTTTTTTCAATTTCTTTGAACAATGGTAAGTAAAAAAAGAAGAAAAACATTGAAAGATATAAGCCCTCAAAAATAGATATCACTATCCGTTCCCTCCCTATTCACAAATTTCAATGTAATAATGTATATATATAAGCCGGGGACTGGAACGATTAACAAATAAAGAAATGATTCAAACGGCTCTCCAGCTGCTCTCAGAACCAACCATTCCTCCCTCTTCCCATCTCTTTTTTACTTCCACAAGAAGGAACCACAAAAACAAAATGCTAAAAAGTAACCCTTCCCAGCCACAACACATCTGTGCAGACACTCCCTCTACTTTTTGGAAGATGTTCTACATGTACATAAAAATCGGATAATGAGACATGTTTGTAGCAGTTCTTATGCAGGTATTCCATTGGGACTCAGCAACCAAAATGCGAGTATTGGGGAAAACAACTTTCAAGTGTTCAACTAGGTGGTGCCCGAATTCCCATCTGCTTTAGGCTCTGTTCTGACATAGGTAAGACTACGAGCGGTTGGAGAAAGAACACTGTTCCCAGGAACTTGAGCACCACTCTCAGCTGGAGTGGCCTGAGCATCACGCTTCCACTGCATACTCCTCGCACCAGTTTTAATAGGAAGACGAGGCCTAAATGCACCAGGAATGCCTCTAGGGAAAGAAGCCCTGGTAAATCTAGATGCAGCATACGGAGAGCCCCGTGCAAAGTGAGGCCAGGTCATAAGAGGAGCAGCATCTTGATGGGCAGCGTTTCTCTTAACCACCTGCAAGGAAAAAAAAATTTAGAAAACATAGTTCAGGTTCTGTAGCTACATCACATTTTTGAACAAAGGACTTCAGCAACCGATGTAGCAGAACAACTTAAAAGATAAAGAAGTATCAAACTAAGTCACAAAATAAACAAATATGTTTGATCCATCAAGCAAACTTTAATTTAGAAATTATGGTGTTTCCATAGGTACATCATATTTATGAACAATTGAGTTACAGAATGAAAAATAATGTCTGATCCATCAAGCAAACTTTAATTTAGAAATTAGGGTTTTCTTTTTCAGTATGTGTACCAAGAAGCTAATCTTGTGGGTTTCTTGTGATTGTACAGGAGATCTAGACACCTTAACCCTCTCACAACAGAGAGGAAGAAAGGGGAAGGGATTTTAGGTTAAAAGTAAATAAATAAATGAACAAAAATAAAGAGTTCCACAGCATTGTCCCATATTTGAGGCATCAAGCAACTCCAGACTAAAGCCATGAGCATGCACCTACCAGCTATGTTCAAAGAAGAAATGAGTGTACCAATATTTGCTCAGCACAATGTGCATTGTCAAGATACAGAATGATACGACTCAAAACTCTTGAGGTATTTGCAAAACACCAGAGAGAAGATTTTCATTTTTGCATCAACGCCAGACTCTAGAGGGTTAATTACTATTTTGATAATAACTCCAGAGAGATGATTACAAGATATCAAATATATTTCCAAAAATAAAAATTCAATTTAAAACTGAATGCCTTTGCAGCTTCCCTTCAACTTCCTAATCTAGGTCATCGGAAAAATTTAGGCACTCTAATAGATAAGAGTAAAAATACCACAAGTATCGTCAAAAGGGAAATCATCCTCAAAAAATAAAAATACAAGGATGAGCTATAGTATTAAGCATAATAACAGCAAAACAACACTGTTTCAGCAAAATAATAATAATAATAAACCAGTGTCTAAAGTAATACCTTTAGAATCCGTGACATAAAGGAGGTGCCATCCAGAGTTAATGCATTGTCTGCCGCCTCTTTACGCGTGAACTCCACATAAGCTGACCTGGTAAAGCATCTTGACTTAGTATACTTGTAAAGTAAAATTATATATTGAGTTTTTTTACAGAAATAGCTGAGCAAGTGAAACATGATAAAAAGATGCAGCTAAAATGTTTACCATAATCAGTATATGAAAACCTTACCCTTTTGGTTGCCCAGTTGCAGCATCAGTAACAATAACAACTTTAAGAACTTCCCCAAACTTATTAAAGTGCCGAGAAAGATTGTCCTTGGTAGCAGCAAAATGAACCTGTGTATGAATAAGCAAAACAGATTGTCACAAAGAGAAAAGAAATACCTTCTACAATATACAGGAACCAAGAGAATAACAATTACATTGGTAACAAAAATGGTTCGAGAATCAGCATCCTCTGAAGGACGACCAGCAGGATATATACCTGCACATAACATCCAAAAAAGTTTTTTATAAAAATGTTACCCAATAAAAGAAAGACACAGAGAGAGAAGAAGAGGTCCCACAAACATAAACAAAGCAAATCTGCAACAGAACCAAAAGAATCATATCACTGAGGAAATGAGAAAGAAGTCACCATCAAGACAGAAACCAAGAAATGAAAGAAATTAACGACAGAAATTGCAATACTTGTGATGTACAGCATAACTATTTTCTTTCAAATATTATGCCACAAACCATCAACAATGTCTTTATAGAGAATTCAAAAACTCACCAGGAGTAGAAGGCAGTGCCTTTTGAGATTCTTTTTGAATATCTGCAACAGGTTTTGCCTGTTAACAATCAGAAGCAACAGTTAAATATTAAAACACAAGATAAAGAACAAAGAAAATTAGAGATGACCCAGGACAAGAGAATCTTACATTTCCGTTACCAACAGTAGCAGGGTTGCTATTCTCCTTCATTAGTTGCACACCGGATTTTCCAGACCGTGCCTCAATCTCCTGAAGAGATTTTCGACTATCTGATTCTGGGACATCTCTTGGATCCTGATAATAAAGAGGTTTCCAGGTATTTACATTCACAGAAATGTCAGCCATCTTATGGGAAGCATTCACTGCTGAAACAGACTGATCATGATCTTTGTTCCATGGTATTTGCATTAAATCATCAGCATTCTTAGCTACACTGGACTGCAACATTAGAGAATCCTCAGCCTTGTTTCCACCAGATGGTCCTGACTGAGAAACATCTGTGACTTGATGTCCCATATGATTGACATCATCATAACCTTCATCCTCGGTCACAGAGTCAAAGGACAACCCATTGTCACTTTCAATCATTCTCATGTCCCCAACATACTGTCCACTGTACTCATGTCTATCAACATAAGCCGAACTGGTTTGCTCCTGAACTCGGTCGAAATTTTCATATTCTCGGTCTTCAACGACAGCTTCTGTAAGTTCAGCATGATGATCAGCCATCTCTGATACATCCATACCCCGACCAAGTCGATCAAATACACTTCCCGTAGACTTAACTCTAACTACATCTTCAGCAGCTTCTGCCACAGCTTTTATCACAGTTGCTAAAGGATTAGGTACTGTTGCAACTGACCTAATTCTCCTGGGTCGTTCAACCAATTCTGAGTCCGCGGAGGATGTAGACACCACAGAACGAAGACGCTTTAATTGTGGCTCTTTGCCTGAACTAGATGGCCTTGTAGTTCCCACTGCATCTCGAACTGCAAACTGAAGTAGCCGTCGAGAAGCAGCAATAGTTGGTTGGCCCACTACCTCCCTCTGCCATAAAGTTCAGTGATGGATTAGAAGAAAGGGGAATTATATCTCCAGTTTTTGCAGACAATGAAAGAAGACCAAATTTTCTCTTTATGAAAAACAATTGCACCACACAAACACAAACCCAAACACCCCCCCAAAAAAAAAAGGTGAGAGAGAAATCTCATATGCTTAAGCACAAGAAATTAAAAATTCACACCTTAGTGTGCTGCCTGTCATCGGGCCTGCTTCTTTTCATTTGAACTCTAGGTCGAGGAGGAGAAGGAGTTTTTTTGGCATGATTAACTTCAGCACCTGATTTTTCCTCTAAGTAGATATTGTCAACCTCGGAGCTACGAAGAGGTGGAGGTTCAGCTGCATTCCTCGCTAATCCTTTCCACTCCCTATTGTGACGACTCCTAGATAATTTATTCGGCTTTCCTCTTTCAGATTCAGAATCCAATTGAGGAGAATCATTGCTCCCACCCTGATCACCTAATGTAGGTTTCATTTTTACCATTTCATTTGTGTGAGATTCCTCGCTATGAACATACAAATTCAAATTTGAAGCCAGATGATCCCACAACCTGTTCAAATAAATTAATAAAAGAAAAACTGATCAGCAACAAATGTGACTAAAAGCTCTGGCAGAAAAAATAATTTCTGTAATAGCAACTTCTCAAATTAACTTTTACGTAAGGACCAAAGTACCAAGATACAAAAGAAACGCTATCATCCCCTAAAAACACATTCAACTCATTCCTTGCTTCTTCTTTGCGTCTTCCATTTCTCAGTAAGACAATAACGTAGTCCTGCAAAGAAAACCAAGGAGTAAGGAAGGCTTATAGCATCATCAAAATAAAAATACTCAAATTCCATACTCTGAAAACAGATTTGAATTATCTGCTTGATAATGCAAAATCATACCTAAAGAGATATAAAGTAAACATCATAAAATCAACTTTCACTATATAACCCTGTTAAGCAATTAAAAGTAGCACAGCGTTACAAAAAACCATATAGAGAGAACAAAAGGAAAAAATTCATCCACATTGAAAACTATTTAAAATCAAAACTGATCCTTATCCTAGAATTGTTGGAATAAGTACCATAAGAATAATTCAACCAAATGCTCCAGTAGCAAAAACTACTCGCAGTTTACTATAGTGCTACCCTCTCCAATATGAGGCCAACTACAAAGCCCAGTATCTAATCTAGGCATTGCCTGACACAGGCCAGAAGGACAGCATCAATGGCACAAAACTGACCAGCAACCAAAGAATGGAAACAGATATGATTTGCCCTTTCACCCTTTAAGAAATAAGAAAAAGATTAAAGACTAGGAACCTTAATCCCCCCAAGATGTCATGCAATTAACAGAATGTATAACCAGCAAGTTTGATCTACCAGATACTTTTCACAGAAACAAGTTCTCTCACAAATTTCCCTCAATGATTTATAAAACTATTTGACTCCAGAGGCCAAACTCCTCAACTTCCAACACATCTAATCCTTAGTGCACAAAAACCTTGCAACTCCAGCAACATACCAGGCAAAGCATACACAGAATCCAATTCCCAGTTACTGAAAGCCCTTACAAGCCTTGCAAATCGTTGAAACAACAGACATGATCAATGATTGCTCTGAACAAGTTACTTACTCTTGCTCTTTTACCTCAGCAATAGACTATATATCCATGAAGCACCACAAGACAAGGGATTCTATAACAAAATCCTAACAGAAAAATCTGTAGCTCTAGTGCTCTAGTCAAATTCCCTCTAGTTCCACGGGTCATTTGAAACTTCTCAATCCTCTAACATAAGAGAGAAACAAAATGACAAAAATCATATAGAAAAGCCAAACAATGCGTCATAGCTTCCTCATCAGATACTTAGCCTGCAAGAAACAAGTAATCTGCCTCCAATAAGCTTCCTAACAGACTAACTAAAGGCTGAAATAAGTCTAATACTAGAAACCCACTTTTTACCCAAAATCGTAGAGCAATTTGGAAACATTGGCACATAGTCCACAACAAATTAGCCAAAAAAACAGCCACATATAAACTATAGTTACATGGCCATAATTCCTATGACGATTCCACACTATGATTTTAGGCAGAGATGTGAAACCAACGAAGTTTTAGAGATACTTTAATCTTCAAAATAAAGCCCCTAAAACCAACTCACTTGGTCACAGCATTTTTAATATACCTCGGAAAAACAAAAAAAAAAAAAAAAGAAAGCAAATCCCAAAAAAGGTTTAGTGCTCTATAAGGCTTCAAACTTCATAAATTAATCTCTGGCATACATTGAGCATTCAGGCACAACGTTTTTAGTTCATGCAGGTAGGCCAAATGAATCCAAACTCATTAACAAATACAATCCCTATAGTATTCGAAAATAAGTTCAAAAAGTAACTGAAATTACACAATTTTCCAAACAAGAAATTGATTAACAAAAGAAATAAAGAGTCATAGAAAATCGAAGCAACAGTTCAGCGAAATTCTATAGCATTCATATAAGTCTATCATAAACCCTAAAAATCGGTTAAACTAAAAGAAAAAAAAAAAAAAAAAGAGAGAGAGAGAGAGAGATTACCACAAGAGTATCGTCGGTGTAATCACCCATGAACTCTTTGAGTTTATCTTTCACTCTATCCCTTAACTTAGTCACTCCATCACCGCTAAAATTAGCCTTAAATGTCCGATCATCTGCGCTGCCCATTTCTTGCAAAACCCTAATTGAAACCTATAGTAACGATAAAAAAGATAAAACCTGAATTAAACCAAAAAAAGGGACGGAGGAGAAAGAAGAGGCAATGGTGGGATTCCCTAATTGAAAAGTGTCAATGTGAGTGTAGGAACAGTGGGTGAAATTTCAGGAGGAGTTTGTGACGGTGAAACAATTAGTCGATTGTGATTTGTTTTGTTTTGTTTGGCTGTTGAGGTTTTCTGTTTTTTCGGGTTCATGGAAAACCCCCGGATTTGTTTGTCCAGGGTGAGAATGAGAACTAAAATTGGTTGCGGGCTCAGTTTATATACCATCTATCATCAACCCACAAATTAATGGGCTTTCTTTCTTCAGGAAATTATCAGAAGAAAAAAAATGCTTATATCATATCATACTTTTTTTTTTTATTTAAGAATTTTTAAGGGAAAAAGAAAGAGACAGAGATAATATATGATTTTTGCAAGTTTAATTAACCCTTTAATATTTAATTAAATTGAAGTATTTATTACCTTGTATTAAGCTTACTAGCCCACTCCACTATTCAAATTTTAACTCCATTCCTAATAAATGTTTACCATAACATATCATTCATGAATACGGTTGTAATTAAACCGAGTCAAATATTGAAAAGCTCAAGTTTGGCTCAGTTAGAATAGTCAAAGCTCGAGCTCAAGTTTGACCGAGCTTTAATTGTCGAACTCGATAGATATATGATTAGCTCGAGTTTGATTTAAACTCAACTCGATTACAACCGAGTCAAAATCAAACTCGAGCTCGACTCAGTTGTAAATTGTAATCGAGTCAAAATCGACATATATATATTTATTATAATTTATACATATAATATTAATATAAAATTAAAACATTATATACAGCAGATTCAACCACTTTTTGGGTGGGTCATGGCTCACCCTCAATTTTTTTTTTTTAAATGTTAATATGTATAATTTATATATTTTGACCCACGCTAACAAAAATATTAATGGATAAAAGTATTAATGTATAATTGATTTTTACTTTGGTCCACCCTAGCAGAAATTTTTGGACCCATCACTAATTATATAATATGTTAAGCTTGAGTCCAGTATTATTAGGCTCGAACTCGACATGCGAGCTACTCGCAAACAACTCAACTCGTTTGCAGGCCTATTCATGATACATTGGAGTACATTTTCATTTTTTTTCATGGGCCATATTAAATAACAAAATTTTTCTTTTGATCACATATCTATACATGTAAGGACACTTCACAACATTATGCATAAACTCATTAATGTATATCATATATCAATTTTAACGATAAATATGCTCAACATAATTTTACTCATCTGTCATATTAGCAGCATAATCAGGCTTATATACACTCGACCTATCCAAAACTTTGACAATAATTATCAATCTGTGATGTAGAAGCTAGATAACCATAAATAATGGAGGTGGCTAATTCTAATCTATAAAACCGGAACGGCGCCGTTTTTCTCTTGTTTGAAAGTTGTTAATGTGATGTTTTACCTGCTGGGCCTGTTGGATTTGCCTAACATGGTGTAAGTATTGGTTAGATTATAGCTCATATTTATCCTGAGTAATGTTATATCCATAATCTCTTCTCACAAACTTTATTTTACAACTCCGACGTGATAATTCACAATTGATCACCCATAATTTATCAAGTAAGACCTATTATGAACTGACTAATTGCGAGTTATCACGTTGAAGTTAAAAAAAAAAGTTAAAGAAGAAATTGTGGGAGTAACATTTTCTATTTCTCATTTTTATGACAATTTTTGTTGGTGAAAAGTAGCTCCACTGGCTTCAACTACATAATTATGCTTGTATTTAGTCAGCCACATTATTTTTTTATTTTATATTTTTAATTTCACGTTTTTGGTGCCCTTTCTTGTTGATTATTATATAATATATGCTTAATTAAATTCAACTCCCTGATTATTATAACATTATCCACGGTCCACGGATGTACCTTTCTAATTTTGTCCTACTCGAGTTGAAATCTCGACTTCTCTACTACAAGTTGATAGTTTAAAAATGTTGATAATTTTGTGACAATTTAGAATCCACCTAGAACTAGTATAATTCTTTTATTTATTAAAGATCATATATAAAGTGTTCAATTCTGATTTTTATTAAAATGTATACTCCGTTTGAACTAACTATTCTACTATACTGTTATTGTACTTTATATTATATATTTATACTTCTTTAAATAGGAGCGTCCTAAATTTTTTAACACCAAAGGCTAACATTTTAAATTTTGTAAAGGTGATTGAAAAAATCTTCAACATCTATCAAAACACGAAAGTTCAGAATATAAATTTTCATTTGAACAATATATAACCGCATTAATACACTCACACTATCATACAATGAGAGCATTGTTACAATCTCAATAATCCCATCAATTAAACACTAATTGAGATCCAAATTTGATACCGTAACTTGTAGTCGTAGATTTCCTTTGTAAGTCACATTGAGGTTTTTTTTTCTAGATGAAAACGACATCGCAGGCATGTAAGTTGGCCCACGTCACTATCATCGATCCAATTTGATGAAAGCGAAATAAGGCAAGTGGGATAGTCATGTGTGGCCAACTCTATTGTTTTACTTTCCATTCCACATTCTGCCTTGCCACGTACGCGGTATCGGAATGGCGTTTTGATCTACCGTGTTTGAACTTTGACCTTCCGATAAAAGGTCACATCAACGGACACAGCGAGCGCTGGACCCACCAGTAACCGCCACTTTGTTAAAGCTTTCTCTAAGCTTAAAAGTAAAAAGTACTTAAACTCGCCACGGTAATTATTAAAGGATAATTTGATAAACAACATTTTAATTTTATTTTATTAACTAGTAGTTAAATTAAATTAAAAAATTTATTTTAATTTTGATACAATAATTTAAAAAATATGACAAGTTTTTTTTTTACAATTTTTTTTGGGAGAACAATAATTTTCCATCTAAGGTTTGGCAAAACAACATTTTTTTACCATTATTTAAATTTTGTTATATTCTCTATTAATATTTTACTGAAAAAACAAAAGTACTTTTAAATATTTAACTTTATAAACTTTTAATTATTTTTAATTAACCAAAAAGTCAAATATTAAAAAGTAAAAAAAGAAAAAATAATTATATCATCACTATTATTTAATAATCTACTAAATTTATAATATTTGTAATTTTTACTAATTAACATAGAAAATCAATATTTTTAATTAATTAAATAAATAAAGAAAAAAATATATCTTTACATTAGAACTAATAAAAACTTTGACTTAACTAAATTTTAATTTATAATAAACCAATTAAAAAAAACTATTTAAAGTTATTTTTATCTTTTTATTTAAATATTAACATAAAACATTAATAAAACTTAACTAAGAATTAAAAAATGTCATTTTGAAATTTGACGGGTAAAAGCGTCATTCCGTCAAACCGTGGGAAAATTCGTTCTCCCCTTTTTTTTTTTCGTCTCTAATGACTTTGATGAGCTGGCAGAGGCACGTACAATACAAACACGGGCCCAGATGTCAGCGCAGTTAGCAGACGCGTGTGAAGTACACATGTCGGTCACGGTGAGGGGGAAAGCGACGTCGTAGAAATGCAAAGGTCGGTCGAGCGTGCGTGCGTGAGTGTAGTCAGAGTGGGCGGCTTGAACTTAAGGTTCCTCCTGTAACCATTAACCAATACCCCCAGTGGGGTACATCCAATTGCCCCGTCCAATTTCCCCCATATTACCCCTCCGTTTACTCAGTCTTACGGACCACTGATTTCTATTATTATATTATAAAAACTGTTAATTATAGATTATTGCCTTCCCTAAAAGTAACGTAAAATGAAAGTGTGATCTTTACTCTTTTTGTTTCCAAATTTGACTTTGCTTTATTGAATCGATGTAATACATAAAGTTCAATATTTTAAATAAAAATTGGAGCCAATTAATTGTATTAAATATCGAAGATCATATCTTAAATTACTGGATTATTGTCTTTGACAATTATTAATTATAAGTTTTTAATTGTATAATCTTGGTCTAATCTATATCATATAAATTCACACGGGTCATTGGATTTATAAGAACTTTTGAGAGAATTGTAATTCAAACCATGGATTTACATATCCAAATTGCTTATTCATCAAGTAACAAATGGTAACTATCTCTTGGTAGTTTTGCGGTTCGTTTAGGACTCTTGAATGTATTACTCAAGAGGTTCCCACGACTGTTAATATAGAGTAGTTATTGGAGGCTTATCTGACCGTTAACTTCAGAATTTTGAAAGACTAGTTGAAGTATGCATAAAGACATCCTCGAAGAAAAAAAAAAAAAAAAAGAAGGATGGTACAAAAAGACGAAGGTAGCAGCTATAGTAAAATTTAGCAGGGAGAAACTTGTTAGATGGGATTTAGAGGGTCACGGGGAAATTCTTAAAGATGTCTTGTTGTGGTGATTGTAGAAGAACTTGGTCTAAGTTTTCGGCAAAATTGGTTCTATATTCAAGAAAATAAAGAGATTCTGCTGGGATTTCATCATACAATGCTTGCAATTCTACATTATTGCCAAGAGGTACAATACTATCTCATTGAAACAAGATCGCTTCAATATTAAGCTACCTAGATTTTCATCACTTTTCCACGTCCTCCCATCGCAGCAGCTTTAACAATTCTGCCCCCATAACTGTGTATTATAATTAAAAGAATATTTTTATTTTAAATTTGAAAAAAATAAAAAAATTATTTATATTAATGAACAAACATTTTTATATATTTTTTATTTTTCTAATATTTAAAAATAATTTTGTAATATTTAATTGAATAAAAATAAAGCAAGTTTGAAGAGCTAATGCTTTTAAAATTAAATTTAGAAATCTTTTATGATATGGTAAAATACTATGGGCGGTCCCGCAATAACAAAAAATAAGCTTTATGGCATTGTATACTTTCTCGATAATGACGATTAACACGTCAGATTCAATCTAGAATAAGCAAAACCAGAGTAATTATTGAAACGTGCAAGGTTATTTTAGTAAAAGTGTAGCAACAAAATGTTTGATACGCGTCTCTATGAGGTCCATATTCCATCGCCATTACCGACCCCTCAATCCCTTCAAATCCCCACTCTCCTCTCCCTAACACCAAACCTTTGAAGCCTCTCTCTCTCTCTAAAAACTCAATAATTCTCTGTGATTTTTCATTTCTCTCTCTCTCTCTGATTCACAACATGGCTCAGAAGACAGAAAAGGAAGAGACAGATTTCAAGGTCCCTGAAACTTTGACCCTTTGTATCAACAATTGTGGTTTCACAGGCAATCCAGCCACCAACAACATGTGCCAGAAATGTTTCAACGCCACCACGGCCTCCACAAAATCAACCGCCACCACGGCTACCGCATCAAACGCCACATCTACAACCTCCACAACAACAGCAGCAACCACCACGGCTTCTAGCACGAGCGCAGGTGGCGCTATCTTAAAGTTTGCCAGCGATAAAACTTTCAGATCTCGGTTGATCGACCGGTCCTCAGATGCTTCAGGCACAACAAGCCAAAATCCAGAGTCAGATCGGCAAAAAGGCGATGTTGTTGAGAAAAGAGTGGTGAACCGGTGCTCCGGCTGTAGACGGAAGGTCGGTTTGACCGGATTTAGATGTCGATGTGGAGAATTGTTCTGTGGAGAACATCGATATTCGGATCGTCATGATTGCAGTTACGATTATAAATCAGCAGGTCGTGACGCGATCGCGAGAGAAAATCCCGTCGTAAAAGCTGCCAAGATTGTTAGAGTTTGAGTTTCAAAAACAAACAAGAAATTATCCACATCAAAAACCCGAGACAGACTCGATCTCGCCGGATCTCTTTCTCAGATATATGGTGATCGGAAAAGAGTTATAGAGAGAGAGAAAGAACAAATTCTTGAAAAGATTTGTTTCTCCTTTGATGATGATGAATCTATAATTTGCTTTCTTTTTTTTTTAATTTTATTAGAGTTGGTTTATTGAGAAATGAAATTATTGTGGTTTAAGATATTTGAGTTTGTGTTTAGATTTTTAATTATAATTATAATTATTAGGTTATTTGTTTTGTTTAGAAATCATAAATGGAGCTTGAAGCTTGTGGCATGTGAATGTAAATTTAAGAAACTTTTATGGGTTTTATCGTCTTTTTGGGCCTATCAATGAAACTGGAAAATTCAGTTGGAAGGTTTTACAAAGGTGTGGGACCCAGATGAAAGTGACATGTGAAACGTGATGTTAATTTTATCTCGAGCTAGTGGACAAAATGTCGCGATATGGTTTGGAGTTTGACATGATTTGCGATATTATCATCGTCCAATAGGGTGTAGCCACGTAAGGGCGGCACAAAGTTGTCAGGGGAAAAGCTATGTAAAGCTGAGTTGGGTGTGACGGGAACAATTGCGTAATTAGTTGCGTTCTTGTTTAAAACAAAATAAAAAAAAAATTATAGTGGAGATCTTAAAAATGATCCAACGGCTGTGATTCGAAGGCAAGCTGTTAAATAGAAATACCAAGTAATTGATGGGAAAGGAAGGGGGGAGGTGGGTGTGGCCTGGCCTTTCAATGGCTTCAAAAGAGGTCTGGGATTTACATACCAATTAGAGGAAGCCTTGTGTTTTCATTTTATATAAAAGTGCTTTTTATTTAGAAATTTTATGTTCGAATAACACAAAATAGCCACGTGTTATGGTATTATAATTAATTAAACCACCTGTCGGGTAACATTATCTTGGCATTGCCCACAATTGATTCTTTATTTTATTTTATTTTATTTTGTTAACAATAATTAAACACAAATTAAAAATGTAATTGATGACAAATTAGGTTGGGGACCATAGCATAATGCCGGTTTAATATAAAAAGTGGAATATGGCTGGTAGCCCAATCATGGGAATCAACGCGACAACGCCTTTTAAAGCACAAATAATCTTCTATAAAAATAAATACCTCTAATTTAGGCATTTCTTTTTTCTTTATTTTCACGAAATTTGTTTGATAAATCAAACCATATAAAGATATTTAATATATACAAAAAATACCGAGTGTTTAAGACTTAATTATCTTTCATAACACACACTTTAATTGAAAGTTTTACTATGCTAGAGTCATAGGCTTTATTATAATCACAAGATTTTATTATTATTAAAGGATATTTAATAGTTTTTTAAAAAGAAAATTATTGGGGTTCCTAAAACATAATAATTTTATCAATTAACCCTTGTTTCCCGAAAATTACTGCATCCGTTTTTGGATCCTAAAACGTAATTTTTGGAATAATTTTTTTGTGTTTCCATTTATGATTTGTGAAAACAACTTGGGAGAGTAGCTTTTTGAGGCTGGCATCAACTGGGGATGAGGAGGCCTGCAAATAAATTAAATTAAAAATGAAGGTGAATTGGCAGTCCACTTGGCCCACTTGTGTCTTGTGATGATGAGTCGACGTGAAAAAAGTTCACGGCGTAAATTGCTCTGGCCCCGAGGTTTCCTCGTATATTTTAATTTCGTAAGTAGTAGCTCATAATTAAAAAAATAGAAAATAATTTTTTCCCAGATTTTTTTTTTTTTTGGGTAGAAATGTGAATTATTCACCTAATTTTCAATTATTTTAGTAGAAAAATAAAATATTTACCTCTTCTCATGTGATAGGGTAAAAAGCTCTTTAGTGATTAAGATTAGTTATATCCCAAAGTCTCGTGTTTGATTTAAAACAAAATTTTTCACATATGTATAATTTAAAAAAATATATATTTAAAGACAAAATAAAAAAAAAAAGTAATGGGAGCAAGAAAAATATCAAAATCAAGTCACTTTCTGCCATGTGGTGTAGCACATCATTCAGAAAAAAAGTATCAAATCAACTCCAGAGAGGTGTGGTGTGGTGTGGTGGAGTCAGTACAAGGAATAAATCTTTTTTTTTTACATATTTATTAAAGAGAATATTAAGTAACATTAATTAGATAAAAATGGTTGATTTGGTGCATTGTAATGGTCACAGATGAGTCATTTTGTTCATGATTAGAACATGACAAAATTGGTATCCATTTTATTTGTCCACAAATTACCAAGTTGCCCACTATAACCAAACTATTTTTATTTTTATTATTTAATATATTTCATTTTTGTTTATAAGTCATATACCTTAATTACTTCTTCTAATGTTGTAAAACAACTTCAAAAGATAAGTAATAACACGTGAGGATGATAATAAACATAATATGATATAATCTGTTTATTTAGAGATGACATTTATATTTCTAATATAATTTCTTTTATAAAGAGATATAAACTCACGAAATATAGAATTTATTGTCTTACACTTGTTAAAAGTTGAATTTATCTAACATCGTCAAGTTGGTAGATTCTTATGATATATATCTATATATATGGTTGGACTTTCTCCTCACTTGAATTTATTTTCGGGAGTGAGTTCTACCTAAATTCATTATTCCGAGAGAAAAACATGTGAACCTCAAAACTTGGACGGTTGTATTTATCTCTACATGTTGGATTTTCTTCTCTTTGAGTAAATTATTTGCAGCCATAATTCTTAATTAAGTGGGTTGTATTCAATTTTGGCAACTCAATTGTCCTTATAAAAATCCCATTTGAGAAAATATGCTAATAAATTGACAAAGACAAATTTAGGCACGTCAATATTAAATTATATCTTTTTTTTTTTTTTGATAATCGAGGTGTTTGAACCAATTGGTATGCATCTCAACTAATCTCGCCGGCCAAATTATATCTCTTTGTTTCAATTGATAGTTTTACATACATACTTGCTTTGGCAATTGCCAAGTTGGTTGTTCAAACAATTTGGACCATTTCTTAATTTATGCATGTGGGATTTTGTGCAGAGACAAATTAGATGAATTAAAAACGTGATGGGTTGAGATAAGGTTGATTTTTTAAATATTCTAATCTATTAAACAAAGTTGAGAAACAATTTGCCCAATAAAGTAGGCACAGGACAGATTTATTTTACAATTTTAAATGGTGAAAATAGCTGTCAAAGAACCGAAAGTGTCTTCCTTGAGGCTTCCCCACCATTAACCCAAAAAATTATCTCACAAAATTCTATTGGATTATAGCATCAAACAAGAATCATTTACCAACTTGAAACTCTCTTCTTTAAAAATAAATTATATTATTGGGGATATTTTCCATGCTTTTGCCAACTATTGATATTGAAGGATTCATTGTACTTGCTAATGGCTTTAATTTTGCAGCTATGTTTTGTCTGCAAGAAAGATATCAGACGGGGGGCAAGAGTTCTATTCGGCCAAACATGTCCCTTTTAAAATTTCAGAGGACAAACAAAGAGGGTCCCTGTAAAAATGGCTCCCTGTTGACGTGAAGTCATCTCCAGTATGCAATAAGTATAAAGATATATAAGGGGAGTAATCTAGCAACGTGAAGTCATCTCCAGTATGCAATAAGAATAAAGATATATAAGGGGAGTAATCTAGCAAGCGAGGAGCATCAATGGAGATGAACAGAGTGAGATAGACAATTTTAACACATTAGTTCATAGAGTAGCCAGGCTCAGGTGCTAAGAGTAGGCTAATACCAATATTATAATAACTATCTATTTTGCAATAAGCCAACTTTAAAAAAAAGTGTGGCAAACAAGCATAAAAGGGCATACAGATTCAAAGTTAGCGGTTTGGGAAGGAAAACAGATGTAAGATAGAAGAGTAGGCTAATACCAATATTATAATAACTATCTATTTTGCAATAAGCCAACTTTAAAAAAAAGTGTGGCAAACAAGCATAAAAGGGCATACAGATTCAAAGTTAGCGGTTTGGGAAGGAAAACAGATGTAAGATAGATTTAGGCCCCATCCGGCTGGACGAAAGGGTTGGAAATCTCATCTGTACCATCAGTTGGCGACACAAGCATCACAGCAGTTCCCCTACACACCTGCAGTGCAATAACATATTGTTAAATCATTAACAATACAAGGAAAAACCGGCCCGAACATAAAAATATTATATATTTGATGAGTGAAATTTTTTATTAGTTCATGGTTGAAGGCAGCCTGATATCCCTTGCCATTTTAACATGTATCTATACTTTCTGTGAACATGGTGCAAAATTTCCAAGGGCCGATATCAGCACCTTTTTAAAAATTCATCAGTTTGAGAGAACTCCATTGATTGTTATACAGTTCATATACTCCGCCATATATCAAACTGATTTCAAATTTGAAACTATGTCTTGAAAATGGTGCTAATATTAATTTGTCATACAAGAAAATATGAAGCTATGTATTAAGTGGCTATAGATATCTGCTGAGCACGAAATTTTGGTATGCAGTTCACATAATGAGTATATAATTTCATGATGAGAGATGAGAAAACAAATCTCATAAAACTTATTGACAGGTATAATGACAGTTACTCTAACACTCATGCAATCAGATCCTCGTTCATTTAAAACCTATGGCATAAGTGATCTAATTAAATTGGTTTTACAGAGAAAATTCACCAACAGATGCAAGCTATAGAGGCAGAAACCCATCATTTAAATTTCTAAGACAATCCATGCCTAAGTTGGACGTAGATATGCAGGTTACCCCCTTCTCACGGACAATTATGATAAAGTAGAGATACTGAAAAAAAATAAAAAAAAATGAATAGCATACTATTAGGCCAAGTTGCCTGGTTTGATCAGTAGTCTTCAATGGATCATCAGGATCTGCAAAGCAATAAAACAATTTCGAATAAGTTCTTTTCACCAATATCAGAAGCTACACTTTACAACCAAAAAGCTTATACATATATTTACTGAGAATTTCACTGGTCAAGAAAGGGCAATAGCGAGTTCAATTGTAAATACTCAAAGCAGTTCCATAGGATGGTAAAAAGACTTGTTAAAGGAAAGGGTCAGTAGCAAATGGAAGGCAAATTTATAATGGGCCTCTAAAATTTGGATCCTCTACAAAATATCACACTGCTCAAAATAATAATAAAACCTTCCTAGAATAATTATCAAGTTACTCTAAAATAGGGTCAAATCAACCATGTGTTAATTCAGTGACAATCATTTTTGTAATCTAAATAACTCTTTTAACACCCACCTAGGAGGAAGGGTTTTACCATTAAACTCTATGAGAAGATAAGAATCCAACTTTATTCATTCTCGGAAATTAAGCACTCACATTGCACCAAAAACAAGAGTTTGATTGTGAACAAGGCACATGCCTCAAGGGAACCTTACACCATGAGATATGGATCTCCAAAATTAAAACCTAATATAATACCATCTTTCTCTAACAGATTTATCATGGGCAAGGAAGCTCAAGACAATGAGGCCTTGAATTTTCAAGTCTGTTTTTGTATATAAATAAAGTCATTCATGCATCATATGTGGAGTCAAGCCTAAAAAATGAGTTTACTCAAGCCTCTTGAACTGCTTGAGATTTTGAAGACTCAAAAGATATGGTCACCAGTTTAATAGTTTTAATAATCTTCCTTGGCAAGCAACATTTCATATTGAGTTAAAGAATACACAATCCAGGAATAAACCCAACTACTTTTCCCCATGGTATTCAATTCCCTGTATCTCAATTGAAATGCGTTGAAATTTTAAGAAATTCATGTTAGTAGAGCATAGATATAACTAAAGTGAAGTTTTCCCCCAAAAGAATTCTGAATGAGAAAAGGAAAACAACATACCATAATTAATGTGAGAAAAACAGACATATCCATGTACAAAAAGCAAGATTGTTTGTGGTTTGGACCAACTGAAATAACAAATCTAACATTTTTGGAAGAGAATTTCTATTTAACTTAATCCTTCTTTTTATTATCATACAATACATGGCTGAAGGAATCAAAATAAAACCATAACCAGCAGACGCCACAGTGTAACAATAGCATATAACCACCACCCACACTTGTAAGGACACATACGCATACAGAACAATACCCATGTACGATATTGGTGATTACCTCTAAGAAACTCAATAGCTTCATCCAGGACAAGATTTAGCAATTGATCATACCCTTTCAGAGTCCCTGTCACTGTATCCACAAAAACAAAAATGTCACATCACCCTATCAGATACCCACACCAAATCAAAGCAAACCGAGGAACATCACATTAACCTACATGACCTCAAGTCATAAAACAAGACATTAATAAGTTAATGCATATGAAATTTCGGTCCATGATGAACCTTCAGCATTATGATAACCATTCCTCAACAATTATGCTCACACAAGAAACCCAACAAAAAACCCTCTTCTTTCTTTGATTACATTCAACTTATACATTATACACATAATTTAGCTCAAGTAAAATCATTGTGCAATAAGCAGCTTAAAACAATAAAAAATTATAAAAATAAATACAGCAACAGTAAGAACCTTGTCTTCCACCAGTGAGCTTGACTTGAACACCTTTATCTACAAACTTGGCCAAATCCAAAACCGTTTCTTTCCTTCCTGACTATATAAACAAATATATAAAACTAATTAAAAAGAAAAAAAAAAAACACATTTTGAGTTCTGGGTCAGTAAGTTTAGGCTAAAAAAACAATTTATCAAACGAAAAGTTACCATCTTATCCTCCCTGAAGGTTTTGCAGCTACTCCTCTGCTAAAACTCGCTTAAAGAAACCTAAATTGAAGCACGTAGAGAGAAATATTTATCAAAGAATTGAAATAAATTATTATGAAAAATTTTAGAATTATTAATGAAGAGAGCATGAACTTACTCTAAGGCGCCCTCTTTGTTTCCCTCTCTGCGATTAACGATTAAGTTTTGCAGAGGCAATGCGCGAGATAGAAGGTAGTAAAGGGAGTAAGAGAGACCTTGATATGGATCTGGGCTTCAGTCTGGGTTATGTTTTGACCCGTTGGGCCCTCAGGCCCATTTTCAAATTTTTGATGAATTTTTCTCGAGGATCCTCTTTGACTTTGGTTCTCGTATAAGTATTTAACTAAACTCCCTGATCTCTTATTTAATTACAATGAGGGCAAAACAGGAAATATAAAAGGAAAAATATTTATTTAAAAAGAAAGGATATGACATAAATAACCTCACGAGCAAAGGCATTTAAGTAATTTTGTACAAAAGAGAGGGCATCTTCTTAATAAGTAAAACCCTATATTTATGAGTGCAAGGCCCTAGGGTTCGGTTTAGCAGCCGCAGACGCAGAGTGAGGAAGCCCGGGGTGGTAGGAACTAAGAGCAAGAGCAGCGACAATGGTGGAGAAGACAGGCAAAGGAAGGCAAGAAGAGGTTGTTACTCGCGAGTACACAATCAACCTCCACAAGCGCTTGCATGGCTGGTACTAATTTCTTTCTCTTTCTCTTTTCATTTTTTATCGATGTTTCAGATCTGGTTTTTTTAGTTATTTGCTTTTTTTGATGTTTACTTGTTACATATTTGATCTTGATATGTGAAAACCTTTTGTTTTTTTTCAATTATATGTGTGTACGAGCTGCCTGAGAGTATTGAATTCTGGCTGTGAATATATTGTTTAGTAAATGATTCAGGGTTTTGGTGATTGGAATTAGGGTTTTGTTTGTTGTGGAATTGTTTTTCATGAGTAAATGATTTATTGCAAGCAAGAATAGAGACGTTCTTTAGCCATTAGTCATAGACATCATAATGTTCAACAAGCATTTTTCTCTGCAAAGCTTTGGCTATGGTAGTTGATAGTGATTTCTCAAACTAAATGAATTGAGACCGAAAGCCATCAAGGTTACCAGTTGTGTGCAGCATGTTCTGTGCAATTAGCAAAAGTAAATCAAAGTTTAGGACCTAATTGACCCATGTAGGTTTCTTTAAAAAGGCCAAATTCTGTATCATGCTGGTTGCAATGGTATTTTTTTGACTCGCATTACTTTCCATTGTTATTATTAGTGGTGGCTTCAAGCGTAACAATCCAAGTTGTGTTTGGCACTTGGACTCTACCTCTCTACCATTTAGCCAATACACAGTTCAGTGTAATTTTTTTCTTTTTGTTCTTATTTGGAGGTTTGCAAGTTATTTCCAGAGTAACCATGCTTTCCAACATTGTGCAGCACATTCAAGAAGAAGGCACCAAAAGCCATAAAGGAGATCAGAAAGTTTGCTCAAAAGGCTATGGGGACTACTGATGTTAGAGTTGATGTGAAGCTTAACAAGCATGTATGGAGTCGTGGTATTCGTAGTGTGCCAAGGAGAGTTCGCGTTCGCGTTGCACGAAAGAGAAATGATGAGGAAGATGCCAAAGAGGAGTTTTTCTCCCTTGTTACTGTTGCTGAGATCCCTCCAGAAGGATTGAGGGGGTTGGGAACCAAAGTTATCGATGAAGAGGATTGAAATAGTGTTGTGCCCTAGTTAAGACTGGAATTCTTAGTTATATTTTTGTTTAATTTAGTAAATTTTGTTTCTTTCTGGAATTCTCTAAACGACATCCGGGCTGATAAAGTATTTGAACTTATTGTCACTTATGCGGTTAGCTTGATCTCTTAAATTACCTTCGTGCGATGAAAACCTGGCAGTTTGGTGTGGGAAATTATTGTTTCACATGAGCTATATTTAAGAACATTTTCCATTGTCAAGCTTCAATAGATGTGATATAAATTGTTAATAAGGAATTGTTAGGATTATTCCCATTGAATGATACGGTAATGCAAGAGTAGTGTCTCACTTTTTGTATGGATGATTTTGTATAAAGTTTTTATAAGTGAATTATTATTGTTATACAATGGGTTATCGATAGCTTTTATATTGTTAGGATTATTAATATTAAATGATAGGGTGATACAAGAGTAGTGTTCCCACACTTTTTGAATGGATGATTTTGTATAAAATTTTTGTAAGTGTAGTATTACACTTATACAATAACAATGCATTACCGATAGGTCGCTTCTATGGAATTATAAACGGGAAAAATGGTTAATTGAAGGCGAAACATTAATGAAGACATCATATCTCATTATGGAATTATTATATATTACCTGAGAATCTGGGACCACTGTTGGGTATCGTTAAATCCAAATCGTTAAGTTACGGACACTAATGGACAACTTCAATTATCAATGAAGTCCTCGTCAAGAATCTGATCCAGCAAGAAATGGGCCTGAGGGAAGCCCATCTTAATGGACTCTACAGAAGGCCCAGTTTCTCTCAAAAAGCTTGCCCGGGAAGCTCTTCGAAACAAATGGTACAAATACAAATCGGCGGGAATAAGATAATTCAACAAACAGAGACAGAGTATAAAGGACTAAAGGAGAGAGATTTCAGTTTTAATTCGCAAACTCAGATTCAAGGAAGCTGCAGTTGATTCAGGTAAGTTATTTCGCTTTCTGTTTTCATGAATCGCTGTTTGGCTCTTGAGAAAAGTCCAGATTCATTTAATTTCGCTCATTTTACCCTGGAACAAACAGATCCTGAATTCAATTCAGTTGTTATATCTTTATTGCTATAAAATTATGTGAGCTGGATATACAGAGAGCCGGACATTCGATGTCTTATTTATTTATTTTTTTACTTCGTTTTAGAGGTTCGTTACAAGTAAGGATGAATCATAATATACCATTGATTAATTAGTTTTAGCTGGATTAATGGCGATTAAAGATGAAACTGAAATATTCTGGCTTTACATGTTTTATTATATATATAATTTTTACTGGTAATTGCATTCTTGCTTCTGATTTCTGAAGTACTTCATGCTCGTTGAATAGAAGTCCGACTTATGCTAAAGATTTATGTGTGTGCTTATTTAATAATTGATATACATCATATGTTAATCAAGGCTGTGGAGAAAAAATCATGGTTCGGTTATCTGTTTTGAGGTTGTTGATTTTCAAATTCTGTTATTAAATAAGAATTTATTGGTTATTTCATCTTTTTTTTTTCTTCTTAATCTAGATATGGAGGGCCATCTTCAAGCTTCTTCAAAATTAGGGTGTCCTGCTGACAGTAATGAAGCAAAGTACATCTCTGGGCTTAGTACTATACTTGTTGCAACAATTCAGGAAGCAAAGGATAGGATTTCGCAGATAGAGTATATTTTCTGCAGTCAGATATACCCAAATTTTCAAGCAAATTCTAAAAGCTTGCAGAACATATATTCTGAGGCCAGGGAAGCTGCTGAAGATGCATGGAGAGAAAAGGAAAATAGTCTCTTACTCGAGATGAAGCAGCTTCGTCTTGAAAAGCAACAGGCTCTTGAAGAGAATCAGTCTCTAAAGCTTGAGATGGAAAATCCTTTGAAGGAGCAAGAAAAGAAAATAAATCAACTGCTTTCCAAACTAGAGAGTCAACAACTGAAAATTGATGAGCTTGAGAAGGAGCGTATGCAGAAGTCTAAAGAAGTTGATGAGGGGATCGAATTGCAAGGTAAGTTACTCCATTTGTTTCAATCAAAAGTCAGTGTGATTGTGGATCAAAGCAAACAAATAAAAGAGCATGAAGAAAGGGCTAAAACACTTACTGCTGAACTGAATAGCCATAAGAAAAAAGTTGATGAGCTCCAGAAGGAACTTAGTGAAAAGATTGAAAATGTGGCCAGGAGAAAAGATTTGACTGAAAAGATTGAAATGCTATTTTCAGATATTTCAAATAATGAACAGCTGTTGACTGATCTGAAAAATGAGAAGAAACTACTTATTGATAAGTTGGAAGGTTTTGAGGAGAATGTTAGAAGACTGCAAGAGGAGCTGAGGAAAAAGATGGAAGAAGTCGAGGAGGAAAGAAAATTGCAGGGGCAGTTGCTTCAACAAATTGATTTGAATTCTGTTGAAGTGTTAAAGATAAAGCAGCGGTTGGAGGAGTGTGAGAAAGAGAAGAAACTGCTTCTGGATAAAGTGGAAGGTTTGGAGGAAAAAGTTAATGAGCTAAAGTTAAATCTTAATGAAAGAAGTGGTGAGGCAGATGGAGGAAGGGATTCAGATGAAAAGTTACTTCAACAGATAAAACAGAAGGATTCCGAATTGGTGGCTGAAAAGAAGAAAAGAAGGGATGTCATAGATGCTTACAAAAGGCTGAAATCTCAATACAATTTTCTCTGCGCAAAGTCTGGTCTCACAACAGAGAATTTGCTCCAGCAAAACAAGCTAGAAGATGAAAATGATTCATTTAAGCAACATCAAAATCCAGTAATTTCCCCTGGTAAGAATTTATTTATACTTTATTTGGTTTTTTGGGAATCCTAGTACTTGCATGAAAATGAATGCTTTACTTTGTTGCGTTTTTTTTCTGATTGAGATTGGATATTTTTACAGATTTTACCTAGTTTTGGCTAAACTCATAATTGTTTTTGAGTCGAGCCAGGACTCGCACCTGCATGTGCTCATGCATATTCAGATTAACCCTGGACTAGCTATTTTATAGTGATTGCATCTGCTGCTATGCTAAATTCTAATTGTTGTTCTGTTTCCTGGTGTTGTAGACCTTGAAGACAAAAGTCTCAATACTTCCGCGGTTCATTGTGACACAAATAAAGTGAAAAATGAATTTGATTTTAGTGATAACTTGGAGGGTGAGAAAGGAGCCAAATCATTTCAGACTTCAAGCTTTCAGTCAGCTACTTCTAATCTCTTTATAACACCAAAATGTCCCTCAAATGTAAAATCTGCCCCAGCAGCAGGTACAAAGCGACCTGCATCCTCTTGGAGAGAGACCCGGTCCCGCCAATGCCAAGGTGGTGTCGACCCTCATGACGATTTTCTTGATACTCCCTTAGAGAACATAAGAGGAAACTTGAACAAAGCAATGAAGGAAGACGTTCATGATATTCCAGGCCCAGCTCAGGAAGACATGAATCCTGATAGCTCAGATGATGAAACACAGGATATGAACGTCGATCCTGCTCCCCAGAGACAGCAGAAGCCAGATCCAATAGCTGGAAAAAGAGGTTACAAGTATGTTGAACCAGTAAGAAAGAAAGCTGAGAGGGAAAATTTGAAAGGAGTTGAATGCAAGCAGTGCAAGAAATTCTATGATGCTGTTCTTCCCAATGATGGAGGTAAGGACAGTGACTGTAATAAGAAAAATTTCCGCTGTGAACATCATGAAGGTGTTTCTAGGCATAGGTATAAGTATATCCCTCCTATGACACCTGAAGGTTTCTGGAATATTGGATTTGAATCTGAAATGTGATTCTTTCAGTTGAAACTGATATTGTCATTATCGCATTGGCTTTATTATTTGAATTTCATTAATGCAACTTTCTAGTCTTAAGCAAGTTGTTATTGCAACCTTCAGCCACTGCAGAGAATTCTTCAAGGGTCTGCGGAATGACTAACCTTCACTTGACTATATCTGTGATTTAAGATTTTGTTCTGCTCAGAAATGCTTAAATTTTTTATTCCCACTACAGAAGGTTCAGTTCATGAAGTACAACAAAAATATGCAGCATTCTTTAGGCTTTCTCTTGTTTTGAGGACCTGCTTAAACTGATGGGAAACTTTCCAAAACCGTTATATACCTTTTGCACAGGAACTATAAGACACCGGGACAGAAATGAATCACTCAAAATATTTACATCAAAGTGATTGTATACTGTCCATTATTATGTGTGGTTTTTCGTTTTCTTTTGTTCTTGCTCATGTTTGTAAATCATTTAATGTTCAATGTCGTGTTCATTTTTCAATATTAGCTCATTTGATATCGATAGTTCGACACATGAACCCTTGTCAACATACAAGCACATGTCAATGTAAACAGGTTGTATTAAAGGAGATAATAGGCATTGTATTATTTTTCCTACCTTACCCTTCTCATTGGTAATTGTATTTCCTTGTGTTTCTCAGATTATCGAAGTTTAAATATTAATGGAGCTCAACAACTGCTAAATTGTATGGGATTTACATGTTCTTTTTGGTTGAGGCTGCCTCCTTCCATTCTATTTCCTTTCTTTTTTGCTCTTATTTATCAGCATTCTCAATGTTATTAATCGGAATGTGTTCCCATTTTTCCATTACGCTATTTATGAGGCTGAGTTTTCTTTCAAAACTTTATAATTTGTTGGTGCATGATTTAATTGTTTAATGCTGGAGATGGGTTTGAACAACTTCTAATATGATGAACAATACTTTATTTTCAAGCAATTTGTGCAGTGAAGACTAGAGATAAAGTGGGAGTGTGTGTTGTTCGGCATTATGTTTTGTTTTCAATAACTTGGAAGGGCAAGATAAAGTAGAATTTTTGTTCTCTAAACTAAATATTCCATTTCTATAGGACAGCCTTCACATGCTCTGGTCTGGTGGATCCACCATGAATTTAAAAATAATGTAATTTAAACTTTCCCTTTGCTCTCTGTTGTTAGAACTTGTCTTTGTCTGCATCTTATCAGGTATCGCCAGTAAAATGGTTCATTCTCAAGAGCAAGTGTGCTATAAATCGTTCAACATTGCAGAGCGTAGAAGCAATCTGCATTATTCAAAAGTAATTATCTTCAATACTACTTTCTCACTTGGCAATTTGTGGGATGATGGTTCATTTTAACTATCACTGGATTACTTGATGATAAAAGAGTAAAAAAAAAACATGTAATATGGTCTTCCAAAGTTTGAATCCCCTTAATGATAAAAGAGTAAGACGGAGATCTAATATGGTCACTTAAGTTCAAGTTTCTATGAGAATAAAAGAATAAGAGAAGAATCTAACATGATCTCTTGAAATAAAGTCTCCACAATTACTAATACGGGTGATCATTGAAGTTTTTATTCAACCGATAATTTTAACGTCCTGAGAAATTAATTGAGATGTACGTAAACTTGGTCGGATACCTTCGGTCGTTAAAAAAAATAAATTGTGGGATGATTATTAAAGAGAAGAACTAACAACAAGATTCCAATTTAACAATAATTGTTCATTTATTCTAGCCTAACATTTTTGGATTTTAGTTTGGAAGGAGGAACAGTTGGTGGATTTATGAAGAACCATCAAACGACAGAGTGCACTGTGTCAGTTTTTCACTGATTGAAGCTGAGCTATTTATGGTGGTTCTAGTAAGAGGTTAGTATACAACACTGTCTGTGCATGATAGAAAACCTTATAAAAGCGTTGCTAATTTGCGCGGAAAGTTCATGTGGGTGTCAGTGTGACAACATTCACTACCCTAGATTAAATATGGGTATCAGTGCAGTGGGGTAAGATTATTTAATCCCAGCTACGAACATGCATGCATGTAGCTGTATCAGACTTTGACTCCTGCTTTTAGCCTTTGTCCTTTACTACTCCAAACATAGCATTAATGCCAGTAACAATATTTAAAAAGTCTTTGCCTTTAATGAACGCACGCGATGAAATCTATGTGCATTAAATAATAACTTTGTTAGCTGAAATTAAGACTTGAAAAAGCCATTAGTCTCCTTCATCCCCATTGCTTTTAGAAAGAATTTGTTTTGTTGGATAATAGATCATGTAAGTTACTTTGTTTCAGGACAGGTGGCTGCGTTTGACAATTTGGTCATTTGGAGGACAACGAATAGTGCACGAAGAAACAGGAAAAGTGGAAGTTGTTCGATTTGTTAAAAACGAACGTTAAGACTTTTTAATCCAATTAAACATATAAATCTGTAATTTAATGAATATTTTTATTATATGGTATTGGGCATTATCTCATATAATAAAGATTACGTGATATTACCGCATCGAATCCATGTGACAATTGAGCTTTTGTTCACGTGCATGCATGTTGCATCCATTTCAGCTTATACTAATATAATACAATTTAAATTTAATAGAAAATCATCACAAAACATAAACTGATAAAAGCATATTATAAAAACACTTACATTCACTATTACAATAACATTGCAAATAAACAATTATAACATCCCGATATTTCGGATTAGTAATTTACTGGTATTATCCCATACAATTAGCAAGTCCTTAATGGGTTGCCGCACAAGCAATCATTGTTGTCAAACGACGACGATTCGGACTGATTGAACGGTGACCCAATGGGAATCGGTCCACAAAGATGGTTATGGCTCAAATCCAAATGCCCGACATATGCTGAGGAGGATAATGAACTGGGTATCGGACCTTTCAAATTGTTGTAGGATAAATCCAAAACCATAAAGTACGATTTTGACCCGAAAACATCCGGTATGTTTCCCTCTAAAGCGTTTCGGCTCAAGTTCAAGATACCCATACCGGTGTTACTTAACAACTCATCCGGGATTTCACCCGACAATTTGTTACCCTCCAAGTTAAGAGTTGACAAGACTTTCATTTTACCCAATACATCCGGTATCGAACCCGAGATTTGGTTCATGGATAAATCCAAATCCGCAAGCCGATTCATGTTGTTGTTGCCAATAGAAGTCGGGATAGTTCCCGTGAGTTTGTTTCGGCCGAGTAAAGCACGACTTAACATTTTGAGTTTCCCGAAATCCGCCGGGATTTCGCCGTAAAGTTGGTTGTTGGTAAGATCTAGATGCTTTACATTAGGAAGCTGGACTAACGAATTAGGAATCGGACCCGATATGGCATTATCGGCTAAATTTAAAATAGTTAGTTTCTGAAGGTTACCGATATCTTCCGGAATCCCGCCCGAAATCTGGTTACCGACAACGTCCAAAACATGAAGCGAAGAAATGGAAGTTATACACGCGGGGAGTTTCCCGGTAATGCCTTTCCAGTCAGCGATAATTAAAGTACTTAGATGGTCAAGCTGGCAAATGGCCGGGTTAATGGAGCCGGTCATGTACCCGGCCCGTCCAGCTTTAACCAAAATGGGGTCTTCGGACTCTCCACGGAGTGAGATATCAGTGACTCGCTGAGTTGTCGGGTCGCAGCTGACGCCATACCAGTTTTCACAGCATTTGTCGCCCGTCCACGAGTCGAAGATGGACAAGTAGGGCTCGTTGAGGGAGGACTTGAAGGCCAAGAGCGCCGCTTTGTCCGACGGTGTGCAGGCGGTAACGGCAGAGGTAACGGCGAGGAAAACGGTGAGAAATGTTAAGTAAAACACTCCCATTAGTCTCTCTCTCTGTGAATATGTAGAGAGTGAACGTGGCCAAATGTTATATAAAACAGAATGTGTGTTGGTTTCTAAGTGAAGAAGAAGTAGAGGAGGAAGAAGATGGAGATATAGAGAGGACTGACAAGTGAGGAACGAAAGCTGGGTTCGGTAATATTATATACAGAAAATGGGACGAAAGAGCCCTTTCTTAACGTGATGATGTTTCAAAATAAATAATAATTTTTCCTTTTTCAAAATTTAAAATACAAAATACAAGCAGCCATTTTGGGATTTTGGCTAAAAAAATCATTGTAAATACAATTATAAAATATTACTCTCCTAAAATGTATCCTTAATTGATCTTACATGTAATAATGCAAAATAATTACTAATATTAATGCAACTTAATCATTATTGATAAATGAATTTAAGTAGAATTCAAGCCCAAAAGTTAGAGCAAGAGAGTTAGAAATACAACTTTTAACATCATTCCCTATTATACTAGGCGTGATTGGGCATAGCCTAAACCAATTATCGCCATAAACAAGCGTGGAGAAGGGAGCACAAATACAACTTCTAATTTCCTTCCTCACCAAATAACACATGTACATTGTCAGAGTCCAAAACCAATCATCGTCCTAAACAAATGCGGAGAAGGGAGTTACAAATATAATTTTTAATATCCTCCCTCACCATGCTCGATGTGTGTGCTCCCACCATGCTCGGTGTGCTCCCACCATCGCTCTAAGCAAACGTGATTTTAATAATATATACCATAACAATCTAGTGAATTGGAGACGTGAGACAAATATAATTTCTAAAAATTATAATTACTTATTCACTTGGTATTATTTTATATAGAAATATTGGATATGCATAAATATTAAATAGAAGCACAATGTAACGGAATAATTCTTATTTACAAATTTATTTTTGACCCCACCATGATTTCAAAATTAAATGTTATCTTTTCATAATTGAAAAAGCTCCTTTATTTTCTTATCCAATCTCCATATTTAACAAAGTATTAGCTATAAAATTAATTTCTTAAAAAATAAAAAAAATTAACCCATAATTATGTTCACCTCTTAATTAAGTTGGTTTATATGCTCTTTAATTATGGTGGGGTTGAACTTGAAGATATGAATAATGGTGACCCTACCCATGACCCACTTACATGTTTGCCATGTGATGGGTGATATCAAAAGCAAAAGAATAAAATGATAAAATCAATCTCATATAGATTTGCATACTTTTTCTTCATGAGATTCACCATCATTTTTTTCATAAATTTCCCTTGAAATCTTGTCTCTCCTTATTTGTTTTCTTCATGTCAATGATTTAACCCATATTGTGCTCCCATTAAAGGAGAATCATATTAAGATAGTGTTAATAATCACAATTATTATAAATCACTGTTATTATTAGACATTTAGACTATTTTTTTTAATTAAAATCCAGAATCTTTGCCGGGCAAGAGAAGGAATGTGGGGGTGTCTATAATTAATTCTAGACTTAAGGCATCCCTTTAAGGTTTGATATTTTTAGATGAAGAATCGAATCTAAGACTGTGTGCCTATAACCATCTAAACTAACCATTAAGTCTCAAGAGATTTTTGAAATAGTAAAAATCATCTTACTGTTAATGAACTATCAAAATTTCGACTATTACGGATTAATAAATATTTGTAAAATTTTGTGTATTTTAACACCTCAAATTTAATGAATGAAGATTTTTATTATTATTTGATCATAACTGAGGGTCAATTTATTAACACTTAATTGTAATTGAGACAAGAAGAAGATAAGACTTGAAGGAAGCCACAATATTAATTAATTAAATATTTGGTGAAGTTTGAGAGGCATGGCTGGTAATTACTAAATTACCTAACAACTGACAGATTGGTGAGGGTATTAGGGCCAACTGTGTTGATAGGATGAGAGAACATGGGATTGTGTTGTCTTGTTTAGAACATCATTCAAAGACCTCACATGAAGAGGTTCAACTCGAACCAGCCTATGAGGATTTGTATATTACCTTGTCAGGGAACAAACCCGTGAGGTTTTGGATTATTAATTAATTTTTTCTCAGAGATGATGAAACTGTTAAATGTCGGTGGAAACAGTTATGACTGTTGCTGCTAAAGCTGTTCTGTGGAACCCAGAAATCACATTTGGATTACTACAGTATTTGGGATAAATTTAAGGGTTTGATTGGATCATGATGATCCGAAAGGCTTTAGAATGGGTAACGTTACCCCTTGAATCTTGATCGCCTAATAATAGCTCCCGTCGCACCTAAAACGTTCTGTAATATCTGAAAATCAAGACATGAAAAGAGGAATAGGAGTATATGAAAGATGGGATAAGATGGCAGCAATGGTGCAATAATATCCACAACATTTATGGTTCAAGCTGGGATAAAACAATCATATAATTATTAGTGTTGTAAATGGTATACTACCTTTTGCTAGACCTATTAAAACAATTGAAATTAGGCAAAAATGTCTTCAGTGATAAATGATTGTTCTCCGTCGATAGAAGTTTCAGATGGAATTTTAAGCTGCTCATAGTTTAGCTGTCTAGCAGCTTCATACAAAGCAATGCCAACACTGACGGAGAGATTCAAACATCTAACGTAAGTTTCAACCATTGGAATCCGAATAGTCCCACCACCAAAGGTTTTGCTTTTGCAGTCTTGTAATGCTTCAGGGGGTAGACCACAGGTTTCTGAGCCAAATATGAGATAATCGCCTTTCCGGTAGGAGAATTCCTGCAAAAATAGAATATATGTCTAAGCCACCGTTTCAGAACAATTCAGTTAAGTAACTAAAGAGGGAAATTTAAAACATTGGACGGTAAGCATAAAGTTTAAGAGTTAACATGGAGTATACTGGAAATTTCGAAGGCCAAAATGGGAGGCTCCTAAACAGAAGCAGAGTGAGAAGGAAAAGAAGAATCCTCAGGAACTCAATTAATGCCTCTCCATGAACAGAAGGGATTCTTGGAAAGAAAGCACTTTAAAAATTGTATCGACTTATCAAAAATTAACTGTGCATCATTTAAAGTATTTTAAATTGTTATTTGAATGGGACATCTTACATTGCCCATGTATTATTCACTAATGTACGCATTTTCTATAAGTTCGATAAAATTGAACCATAATCTGGAAAAATGACACTTGAATAAAACAACATTTTCTTAAATTTATGCTAACAAACATTATTAGGAGTCGAGGATTGGACACCAAAAGTAGATTCAAAATTTGGCAACTTACTGAATGTGTCGCCGTTCCTCTTTTAGTAAATGCCAGCAACCGCTTTTTCCCTTCCTGTACCAGAGAACCAAAAACAAATGTAGTCAGAGAAGAGGTAGAAAGGTGGGATCTGGGGCGGGGAGCAGAAGGTCTCCAAGTCCGTTGAGAAGTACCTGTTGCTTGAAATACTCTCGAAACTCTGCCCATGAACTATGAACTTTAACAACAACGTATCTAAATTTGACGGTTAATTCTTGAAAACAGCATCTTCAAACAGAGTTCAGAGAATGAAGAAATTGATAATATAAACTTAGATATCCTTGATGCCCAAGGCTTATGGGAGCACCAACAAGCTTATATAACTAAAGGGAAGGTCACTGAGGTTTGGTGTTGCATGTCATGCTTTGGCATGAAGGGCAAGAATCTATGGCCAAAACCCTAACTGAACCCACGAGAAAGAGAGAGCATAACATAAATCATATAACAGATGTAAAGTATAGAATGATATATTTTAAGTATTCTGCTGAGTTTGAATCTGAAAGGATTAATATATGTCTTTGCATCTTTAGTTCTAGTATTGTGCATGAGTGATGTCAATAAAAATCTAACAATGAATTCACTAATGTGACAGAAACAGAATCCCACCCAATAAAACTAGCAGTGAAGAACTGCAGATAAAATATATGTTTGGATACGGCCAGTAGTCCAATCCAGCACGCTTCAATTTTGTATCATCCACTTGAAATCCTAATGGCTGAAAGAATGTTAAATGGCCATATGAGAACAAATCCTTAAGCTGATGGCAAAAGCAGAGAAAATCTTAATAAAAAGATATTCAAGTGACAACAGGTAATATCAACCCCAACTAGGTGTAGCCCAACAGCTGATGCTGCACATGTTCTCGCAATGCAACCTGTATTTCCAGGAATCTGCCAAGGACAATAGAAATCTCAGAGCCAGCCTTGAGAAATTGAGGTTGTCTGCAACCCAAAAACATCGAGAAATTATGATTTTAGAACACCACAAAAAGTTGGAATGCCCAAAAAATTGTTGTGTATACTTTGGGAGAATAAATAAAAGAAAATATGTGTAGCAAGAACGCCATGCACAATTAATTTTTTTATTAACCCAATGAAAACATTTATGAAAAATGGCTAATATTAGTACAGTTACATTTAACCAAACACTTGTGAGGAAAAAAAAGATCGCACAGCCAACAAACAGTCATTTCAGTAATCATTGTTGATCCACTGTTATATGAATCGATGCACCTTTGTAGAAGCCAATAATGAAAATCATCAATTAACAATGACAAGTATTGAGCTCATCAGAAGTTAGAACTACAGGCACCCAATTCAGCACACTAAAAATTATCATCATATTGAATATCACAAATGAGACAATGCTAACCAAAACAACCCAATTCTTCTTCAACGTGTCATCTTCAGCTACATACCAACTAGTGTAAAACTGTTAATACTATAAACATATATGCCGTTTCGGATGCCATGAAAAGGCAAATGACTGCAAAAACTTCTTGATTTCCAACTAAATGTTTCACTAATCAATTCTCTAAAACAGACTCAAGAAATTTCTACAAATATTGGTGCAATGCCAATTAAATATCTTTATCATATTAGCTACTTATCCTATTCATCTCATTAGAATTAATTAACTCAAGCTCTTTATCACAATAGCATCACAATGGTTACCGTCAAGAAATTAAAGCAACTCAACTGAAAGGAAGTTAAAGGTTTGATTATTGTACCTGAGGGGAGACTAGAACAACTTGAAGAAACTTATTTGCGGAGACATTATTAACAGCTTGACCAACACTATGTGGCAGTGACACTTCATTCTCTCTTTCAGCTGCATCCACAAGAGAAAGATAACAAAACAATCAAAATACAAAACCATAAGAAAAACCAAAAAAACTTAAACTTACATTTACAAATAGTAGAGATAAAAAGATTTACGCAGAGAGCAGAGAGTCGAGAAGCGAAGAGAGGAGGAGGAGAAGCTGTGCTTGAATTTAGTGATGCTGAGAGAGCGAAAGAGAGAGACTTTTGAACGAAAATGAGTATGCAAAGGCGTTATAACGTTCAGGGTCTTGAGACTCGTTGAGTCCATTCCCTCACTCACTCGCTAACTCACTGAGTCTTTGAGGTTTTGCAGCTGGGTTCTTCAGGGATGAGATGAAGATTTCAGCAATGAGCAATTGAGCAGAGAGGCTGCTGCAAAGAAAGCTGTTGTTCCTTGTTACTTTATTTTGGTTTTTTTCACTTTAGTCCTTTATCTATACTTATTTACACCTTGTTTGGTAAATAATATTTTTGTTAAAATTAATTTTATAACATATTAAATTTATTTTTACCCTCTATTTTCTTTGACTTTCACTTATCATCCTACTCCTAATTTAATTTATTTTCGGTATCTTCAAATTTATTGGTAATTATATTTATTTATTTATTACATTTTATAAATTGGAAATCATGTTTCTTAGGTATTATTAAATAAAATATATTTTTTTTGCACATAAATAATATATAAAAGTTTTTTGAAATTTATTAAATTATTTTTTTGAGGTTTTTTCAACTTCATCCGATTTTTTTTTTAATAACTAAGAAATTGATGACATAGCTATTTTAAGAAAGTTGAAGAGATATTTTAAATATTCCTAAAGAATGAGTCCTCAATTGGAAAATATTTTCCATATACAGCGCAGCCCTAATCGGAGGTCACGAGTTCTCTTCATTCTTATTATAATCACTCAATTCACCGAACCAGTTTCCTTTCGATTCCACAAAAAAAGCCCATTGAGATAATCTCTATCTCGTATTGAGAATCTGATCTCTTTGTTAAAGTCAAAATTACGATTATTTGGGTAAATTTTATTTTTTTTTTCTTGTTAATTTTGAATGTTTGGTTGATTAAAGTTTAGATTTACGTCATGTGGTTTCATTTTAGGGTTTTTTATTTAGGATTTTGTTTATGATTTATTATTCATTTGTTGATTGAAAATTGTTGGTCGGGATTAATCTAGCATATATTTGCATATATTTTAGCGGTATATTAATGAATGTTTAGGATTTCATTGTGGTTTATTTTTGTACCAATTTGATTAATCGTGACAATTTTGGAAAATTCTGAGATGCGAATTATTTGTCAAAAAGTGGTTTTTGATGATTTCGTGAAATTTTGGATCTTGATTATTGGGGTTTCAGAATGCGTTAGATTTTGAACTTGATTTTTTGATGTCAATTATTTTGTTTACAAAGATTGTGTGGTGGTGCTTTGTTTTTGAATGTGCTGATGGTGTGTTGCCGAACCCATGTTTGTCTTGGGGGAGGTATATCCAATTTTGAATGAATTATGCTGTGGCAGAATTTTTTTTTTTTTCGGTGATTATAGGATATGGGTGTTGATGCTTGATCAGTTTGGCCCTGTTATGCAATTTAATTTTTGTGTGTGCATAATGGGATGGATTAAAAGTTCCAGTTCAATATCTGAATAGCTTGGAAGCTTGCTTGTTGAAACAGCTTAAATACTTTTGGCTCCTAACCAATGGAGAAAGGAACACCTCCTAGCCTTTTTGTTAATGATGGCTCCTTCATGGAGAGGTTTAAACAGCTTCAACAAGGCAAAGACAAGGAAAAGGAGAGGGAGAAAGGCACTACATTGGTAGAGGAGTCTAAACCCGTCAAGATTGTATCAGGGACTTCAACTCCTAAAGTATCTTTAAGAAAACCCATTGTGGATACACAGAAATCCGGCCCTGCTACATCAGGTGGCAAACTTGCATTCAGCTTGAAACAAAAGTCTAAGGTTGTGGCACCTCCTGTTAAGCTTGGTGCAGATGAGGATGAAGATGAGACAGATGCTGAAAATGGTTCAGGTGATGCACCAATGAAACGGCAGAAGGTGGGGCAACCAGAGGCATCTGAGCAATCATCAAGACAAGCTGCAGTTGGTAATTACTGTTTATATATAAATGTTCTTTTATCTGGTTGGGTTTTATTGAAAGGCCTTTGTGGATCTTTTGGAACTTTGATTTATTGGAGAACAAGAAACAGGGAAGAGATAAATAATCTATGCATATTGTTGATGTTTTATAGTTTTATTGCCAGTTAGTGGTGCATATTTTTCAACTTATTACTCCTTGAGGAAGATATTGTCAATGTCTTGCTATCTTTTTTATGCCTACTTTTAAAGATTGTTGATGTTAAAAACTATTATACTGCTTACTTCTGTCAAATTAATCATGTTTAATAGTTGTGTGACTCACTTCGTGAGGGAAATAATCTAGGCATATTCTCTGATCTTGAACTGGTGGATGAAGAGGGCAAAACATTCTTGAATATTTCTGTCTCATGAATGCAGCTTATACCTTAAGTACCAATCAACATTGGTGGAAAGAGATGTTCAATGAAAGATTTGGAATATGTGGCAGCCTGCTACAAGAGTAATTTGCATTCCCTTGTTCATGGTCTCGGTATTAATAAGTTTTATAAGTGATATGCAGCGCCACTTTCCCCAAGTGATCCTACTGTGAAGAAAGTTGCAGACAAATTGGCAAGTTTTGTTGCCAAACATGGAAGGCAATTTGAGCATGTAACTCGTCAAAAGAATCCTGGAGACACACCATTTAAGTAAGTTGTTCTCCTATCTAATTTCTCCATTATACTGTCTCTCTCCTCTCTCTCTCTCTCTCCTCTTCTAAATGTGTGGGGTATGTTTTGGTTGGGGAGTACTTCATACATAGTGGAGAAGTTGAATTCTGCATGTGTGTGGCTTCTATTGTTTCTCTGCCACAATTTTTTTTTTTTTTTTTTTTTTTTTTTGGTTGCTTAGGGTTTGGTATATCTTGTTTTTATGTTAATTCAGATTCCTTTTTGATGAGAGTTGCACGGACTACAAGTATTATGAATATCGGCTTGCTGAGGAGGAAAAAACTCTTTCACAGACCATGGAGACTCAGACGCCTCAAAGCGGTGGGTATTCTACATTTCTGCTATATCACTGTTTATGTCAGCTTTATGGGTAAATGCAGAGAGATGTATAAAATTTTGATATCTTCTTGGAAATGTTCTCATGAGACAAGAACCGCTATTTATTTCTATTATTAATTTAAGTCTTATGTTTATTTTCCTCATTTTCTGACTTTTTTCCCCTTTAAAGTTATGATATCTTCTTGGAAATTTATTTATAATGTTGGCTACTTCTTTTGGATAGGTGGCATGAGCACTGCAGCCTCTAAATCTACTAATGTTTCTCAAAGGTCCCTTCAGCAGCAAAATTATCAAATCCCTGCCTCAGCTTTATATGAAGCCGCCGAAGAGCCAACAGATTCTTTGGCTTCAACTCAAGCAGCTTCATGGGGAGGACCTGGCTGTGGTATCTATCTATCTCAATTAATTAATTTTGGATTTTAATTGAGAGATTTTTTTCTGTAAACTCTTATAAAATAAGAAAAGATTCTTGCCATTCCTGATTTGGGGCTCTATTAAATCAACAAACATGTAATTATACGTCTATTCCTATTCATTATTTAGTGCAATATTTTATGACGTTTTCTTAAATTTTAGGTGAATCTAGTGGACCACCTAGTGCTGATCCTATAGCTATGATGGAGTTTTACATGAAGAAGGCTGCTCAGGAAGAGAAGAGGAGACAGCCTAAACAGTCGAAGGATGAGATGCCCCCTCCTCCTTCCCTCCAAGGTTTTTATCTGCTCATGATTGAAGCAATTTTCCACTGGGTGGCTGGAAGCTTTTTATTCTAGTTTTCTTGCAGGAATCAACTGTTCCTTCTCCAATATTTCTTTTGTATACAACAAACGTAACTTTCACCATATTTTAGGTGCAGGTCCACCTTCTAAAAGAGGTCATCACATGGGTGATTACATTCCACTACAAGAGCTTGAGAAGTTCATGGCTACCTGTAATGATGTAGCCGCTCAGAAAGCTGCAAAAGAGGCTGCAGATAGGGCAAAAATTCAGGCTGACAACATTGGGCATAAGCTTTTGTCCAAAATGGGTTGGAAAGAAGGTCTTTCCCCTTGCACTTTTCTACGTATTTGATATGATTTGAGTGAAGTTGTAGATAATGCAAGCTTAGAAATATTGATGGACGGAAGTATCTGAATTTTTATGGCAATGATTGTTCATTTATATGCTTGTATAACTCACAGGTCCTGTTTTTATTTGCAATGCTTTTCTTAACTATTAGCATTATCTCCCTTGTGTTTGTTTTTCTACTCATTGCAAGTAGGAAGCTTGGAGTGCCTTCATAAGAAGTGTGATCTGTTTAATAAGGCAGCATGTAAATTCTTTGCAAGGTCATTTGAGCTGGCCAAGAAAAAAAAAATTAGGAGCTGTTCATCAAAGTTGTATTGCAATATGGTTTTTTGAATTTAAGAGTTATATGAGTATATGCTTGACTAACTTGCTAGTTAAAATGTGTGCACAGTGGCATTGTGTGTGAATGACTTATGTTGAAATTGTTGTATGTTGGTACCTTGCCAAATGGGTAAATGGAGTAGATGTGGTTTCTTAGGAATAGCGGCTAGTCAGCTACTGCTTTTTGATTCATAATACATTCGCGAACTAAATTTTTTCTTCAGTTTGTCTGACTTTAGCAGTCATGGAAAATACTTGTTCATGTTTTCCAATTTTTTTTTTTTCTTTATTTGATGGAGAAGCTTGGTAACCTAACTCTGTGGATTTCAGGTGAGGGTCTGGGGAGCTCCAGAAGTGGAATTGCAGATCCAATCATGGCAGGTGATGTAAAGACGAACCATTTGGGGGTTGGTGCACATAATCCAGGGGAGGTGACGCCTGAAGATGATATATATGAACAGTACAAGAAGCGAATGATGCTTGGTTACCGTTATAGACCAAATCCTATGGTATGATCTCTATGTTTGTTAATTTTTTTTTTTTTTTTTTTTTTTTCGCATTTCATACATTTGCTATCTGCTCGTGTTGGTGGTTTACCGATTATGTTTTGATTTTTCTTTAACAGAACAATCCCAGAAAAGCATACTACTGAGCGGCGTGTTATTTTGTCATCAACTCATCATCTATTGAATATTGCCTCCAAGAAATAACTAGATGTTAAAACTACTTGTTATTTGTGAGAAAAGGAAAATTAGTTTTGTTGTTTCACGATAGAACAAACTTGTTTGGTGTTTGTTTTGGTGAAATTTAATGCTAACTGAATTGCTATATATATGCCATGACAAGATTAATTGTTTGAACAATCCCCTATTACAGGGCCCGACACGGCTCATCTTGTATCTGTCAAGAGTTTTGTTTCTTTTTCTTCTTGATTCCTCACTCCACAGTGGAGAAATGTTTTCTTCTAAGTTTGAGATTTGTAATTATTAGGTGGGTGAATTATGAAATTGGTCACCTAACTATAAGTTTATTTTCTGCACATTGCCCTTTGTGCACCTGCCGCTGGCAGTTTAACAAAAATAGCACTGTTGTAAACTATTTAAGTTGTAAAGGTTATGCAAAAGCATTACCATTTGCTCCCGTGCTCAATTTCACCCTCGAAGAAAGAAAAGAAACTTTCTTTCAACGTATATGCAGACAATTAATCATGGAGTGTTTCGTCAATGCATGTAGTATTCATTCGTTTTATGATTTAGTTCCTAATTGATTGGTCCAGTTGGTTATATTTTCGCCTGATGCTCAATTGGCTTGACGGTTACTACTCAGCAGTTTAGCGACTTCAAGGCCCTTTTGATTCACAATCTCCGACACTTTGGTTTGCAGGGTTCTGCCTTTTGTTATGAGTCTTGTTTGCCCAGAGTTGGTACATGAAATTGAGTTGTATATCTAAAATTACAGTGATTGATTAAATGAGTGGGGAATTTTCTTGTTTCCAAGATGTCAGAATCACTAAATTAATGTTATTATCATCACAAGGTTTTACAAAATGCCACCAAATCTTCCTACATATCTTCCAATTAGTCTTTATACAGCATATATGCAATCAAATCTCACTTCAATTTCACTCAATCTCTTCTCTCCTCGGCAAATCAAATCAACTTTGCTGATTGAAAATGAAGTTCTTCACGTGTCTCTGTTTCCCTCCACACAAACATCTTCAACTTTCCTAGATTTCTGAATCTGCACCCGAAAGTTCCCCCATTTTATTCTCTCTTACATAAGAATAAAAGATATTAGAATTTGAAAATTCAGTGAGAAAGACGATGGCAACGTTGGCTTTGGCATCTACAATAAGAATGGTAGCTTTTCAGAATTTCTCACTGGAATTTGGATCCCTGGAATGTTGCAAGTAGTCCGTGAACAGTGATAATAACAACTCATTATACCTGGAATAATTAAATTTCCATCTCCTCTTTTGATTGAATTGAACCCAGATGGTGGAGAGCCTTCTAAATGAATCGTGTTCCTTCTTCTTATTAATATGCTCTCTTTTATTGCGGGATAAACATAGTTAATGAATGGTCAAATCGTGGAGGACATGCACAGCACAGCACTGCATGTAATGTAATGTAACAGAATAGTTATCCGACTCAATAGATAAGATTTCCTTGTAAATCAAAGACAAAAGAATTTACACATAATACTAAGTATCTGATACTAATATTTAAGTCGAATTATCAGATTATTCGCTCACCAGAAGATGCCACCCAGCTTCCCACTTAAGACTTGTGGAATTTGTGCTTTGATTGGTCAAATTCTGATGAATAATACGTACAGTATTGAGCCATATGTTTCAACTTGTATTCCTAGGGTCAATTCATGATGACAAAATAATAGGTATAGGATCCTTCCTACTTCCTTGTGACATAGCTATGGGTTAGATTGTAATATTTTAAAGGTTCGATTTTGAGGGCGGCAAGTTATAAAAAATTTATTTATTTGTCTTAGTCTTAGCCTTAGGATTAGAAAATTAGAAAATCCCTTGTCCCTAAAGGTGAGAACTTAAATCCAATCACCAACCGGTCTACGGTTTCTGCCAGGACATTGGGCTACATATGTTTGTTTGGATCTATTGCTAATTAAATATTCATTAAACTTTATTACTTTCTTAATCTTAGTTAGCGCATCTCTAATAGTATTGTTTATTTTAAAGAGTGTATTTCATATAAATAAAGAGTATCTTTATTAATTTCTAAATATAAAGAATAAAATTTTTATTTAAATCCAATAGACTCTTTAAAAAGCAATGCTACAGTTACCAAAAAAAATACACCGAATTCACGCACCGATATACGTGATACCATATTCTTTTCTTAAAAAAAATCATAATTAATGGACGATCCAAGATGGTGTCATGTCTGTCGATGCGTGAATTCAGTGTATTTTTTTCGATAACTGTATCATTTTTCTTCTTTAAATTTAATAAAGATATTCTTTATTTTCAAGAAAAAGATTTAATAGAAAAGAGAATTAAAAAATAAAATGCACGAAAACTTGTAGTTTATTAATTAAAATTATGATAGAAAATGAAATTTGACTCTCTAGATTTGAAGAGCTAAACTCACTCTTTAATTTATATTTAAAAGATAAAGAGTATGTTGGACTTTTGTTTTTATGAATGGACTCTTTAGAGCATCTTCAATGGTGTTTCTTTAGAGCATCTCCAATGGTGTTCTTTATTTTGAAGAGCATCTTTCATATAAATAAAGAGCATCTTCATTAATTTTTAAATATAAATAATACAATTTTTATTCAAATCCAATGGACTCTTTAAATTTAACGAAAATGCTCTTTGTATTTAAGAAAGAGACTTAATAGGAGAGAGAATTAATAAATAAAATGCATAAGAATTTGTAGTTTATTAATTAAAATTAGGATAGAGAGTAAAATTTGACTCTCCAAGGCTCTGTTTGGTTCACTTTTTTGCATTTTTTAGAAAAGTTTTTTGAAAAAAGTTAAAAAAAGTTGAATTGGGCGGGTATTACAATGTAGGATTTAGAAATTAATAAAATACCCCTTATGTTTGTTTATTTACTAAACACTCCTATAATAAAACTTTGAAAGTTAACAAAAACACCCCCAACCCACCAATTGAATAATCACAGCCGGCCACCACCGCCGGAGGGTGGTCGGAGTCGCCGTATCGGCGCATGACCGACTGGATCTTGCTGGTCGTGCGCTGATATGGCCTTTGCCTGCTAGATCCACGGTGGATCTGGCCATTGACGGCCAGATCTGGCCGCATTTGCTCGTCAATGACGGTCAAAGATACAGCTGTCGGTCGTTGACGTCTGGTCACGGCCAAAGATCTGGCCGAAAAAGGCTAGATCGGTGCACTACCAACCAGATTCAACCGGTAGTGCACCATTATATCAGATTCCGGCCAACTTTCAGCAGTGGTGGCCGGAATCTGGTATAATGTGGGTTTAGGGGTGTTTTTATAATTTCGAAAAAAATATTTAGGGGTATTTAATTAAATTAACAAATTTAGGGGGTTTAAAAAAAGTTGAATAATATTGGATAATATTGTGAGTTTTTGCAATTTTACTGTTTAACTTTATTGGGAATACTAATAATAGTATTCCCAAAAACGAAACAAATGGAGCCTAAATATGGAGAGTCAAACTCACTTTCTAATTTATATTTTAAAGATAAAGAGTATGTTGGACTTTTGTTTTAATGGATAGATTCTTTATAATAAAGAGTTTGGGTCATATAAAGAATCATTTGGAGATACTCTTATAACTCTTTCATCGTGATTAAAATGGTGTATTTAAAGTTATAAATAAGTCATTTTACGTCTATTATTTTAATTTTTTTTCAAATTTTTTTTATAAAAACTATATTATTATAAACTCTTTTTTGAAAAGTCGAAAAAAGGGTAGCAAACAGAACCTTAATTAATTGTTGCGTATTGAGGATTAGTTGAGCATCCATGGCGACCAGAAGTAGAATTCGTTTAACAAAATTCTTGAAGTTGCCTTGAATTAATTCACGTTAGCCAAAACTGTCCCACTGAGTAACACACTCTTTCGTAGTTAGATGACAAACCTTTTAACGATTAAGATTAATTATAAGGAGTTACAGTAACACACTCTTTCGTAGTTAGATGACAAATCTTTTAACGATTAAGATTAATTATAAAAAGTTACACGTGTACTTAAAAAAAAAAAAAAAAAAAAAACGTCCCACAATATATATATTTTGTGGGTTACAGCTCATCCCAGAAAAGCACTTAGAAAGAGATTATTATAAATTAAGATTCATATATTATAAAATTCCAATTGATTGAGACTAATGTGATGTCCTTTATAGGTCTCTTTATAAGAAGATATATGTATGGCGTCGAAGCCAAAGTTAGTGGCCTCAAAAGCACTTATCGTATATACGAGAATATTGATAATAATAATTTTTTAATTTATCTACCTAGAATTGTTCTTTATACATTGATCAATTTAGTATATTTGAGAGCAAAGTATTTTTTAAGATTCTATAGAAATGATACGTTTTTATTGATCAAGAAATATAATTAAAGTAACCTAATCTAATCCAAGGATTAATTTTTTAATTAAGTGATTGCGGTGGGTGTTTTATAGCTGATTGCCACCATTAGATTTAGGTAGATGTTGCTGAGACACTAAGTATTTTTTTATTTTACGTATCTTCTGTGTTCTATTAGTAAATGGAAAGTGCATGATTTGGCAAAATTAGGTATGGAAAAAGGGTTGTAATCTTTGATAATTGTAATCAATCTTATGCTTAGAGCTTGATTAAATTGTGTAAAATTGTTTTCTCATTTAGATTGAACAACCCTTTTTTTTGGTCTCAAGAAAAATATGGAGTTTTGGTTACCAAATTCAATACGGTTTGTGAATAAGGATCTGGTTGATATGATTTGTTCAAATAGTGTTTATAGAAATATTTATATGTATTCTTAAATAACCGAAAAAGGGTTTTAATATGTGAAAAAAAAAATTAAGTAACATTTCTAAAATAGCGTATAACAAAGTTGATATTTTAAAGTTTTAAATAAGCTTAAACAAAGTTTAGAAAGAAAAAAAAAACGACAAAAAACAATTTATTTATCATTTACGAGTTCTTATTGGATTCCGACTAGACAATGTAAACAAATTTCAAAAGTGGTTTTGATGTTGAAAAGGATCTTTAATTTAACTCGTAGATAAGCCAAACTAAAAAGCACTAATGTATAAATAGTACTTTAACGTAGAAGTGCTGCCGTTAAAAAATAATTGGAGAATTTTGAAATGTCTTTAGCATTTAAAAAGGAAAAAAAAAAAAAAATAGCCTTTAATCGTAGGCAACTTGTGGCCAAGTGGCAAAGGATGGTGACCCTTGGGAGATTTTTTTTTTTTTTATCTTAAATGTGTTCGGATTAGCTTATGCATATTTCGACTTATTCATTTATGTGACTAGTAGTCTAACACAATATCTTATCGTCATAATAATCTGTTTAAATCTTATGAGTTAGAAGATTCGAACTTGAGACCATGTGTCTAAAACACACACCTCAACGCTCATCCTACCACTTGAGATATCAAGGGACAACTAAATATATAATAAAATTATGCTCTGCTATATTCGTTGGAATAGTTTTATTTTTAAAAAATAAAGCAAAATAAAATTTAAGTAAAAAAAAAGCCCACCTGAAAAAAGGAGCAAAATTTGAAAATTCTTGATTGGTCAAATCAAGTTGGCTGATTTTTTTTTATTTTTAATTTTAATGGGTTGTAACTTGTAAGGTCAATTGAATCTAATTATATGACAAGTCAAATTAAGGTTGAAATCAAATGAAAAAAAAAAAATTTAATTCAAATGTCGCAAAGGTGGAATATAATTCAAATTAATTAAAAATTAGGAATTTTTTTTAAGTGTTCAAAAATAGTAACTGGGGTTGACGGAAAAGGATAGTCAATAGCCTTATCTACTCAAAATATGGGTAGACAGTTGACTCTTTTTCCAAAGTCAAACCTCTAATTACCGTTATTAATTAAGCATCACATGAAAAGCATGGCTTTATTTTAAGGCAAATTCCCCTTTCAGATTACTGCTAATGATGAACGAGGCAGGTGGGAATTGGGATTAATTAACTTAATAATTTAATATTTTTTAATTAATGAAAACAGCTATGAGCCTCATGGATTTGCATAATTAAAGGGTGAGATTGTAATTAATAACTTTATAATTTTGTTGACCAACAGCAAGAACAAGAACAAGAACCATTCTTGATTTGTCCTTTCTTCCTTTCTTCATTGAATCCTCTTCTAGATTCATTACAACCAATTAAGTCATCTCAAAATGGATCCATTTTTATGATTTACATTTCAAGCCCTCAATGACATAAACCAGTTTATGTGCATATCAATTATTAGTCTTCCGACCCCGATTAAGGTTTTAAAAACAAGACAAACTCTACAGTCTGTAGTCAACAATATTAGTAACCGTTCTTATAATTCGAACGTGAGACTACATGGAAAGCAAACCCCTTGGACCCAAGTTTTTACCACTCAACTAATCTATTATTAGTTAATAGTCCGATTATTTGTGTGAACTTATGCTAAAAAACTAAGACCCGAAGAATCATCAAAGCCTATTTACAAAGAATCTTGACATGAGGAAGAAATTCTACTAAATATGACCAATGAAGATTGAGCATTCCATAAACTTATAAAAAAATGTGTGAGTATTTGTAGAAAGTATATTTATATAAAGTATGATATTTGTTGGTATATATGTAGACACAAAAATGGAAGTGGGCAGATTGAATCAGGTTTCATATGATAAGATCAAGATTCAATTGAAATTAAGAAATTATAACGTTGTGCTTGAATTGTGGCTACTAGATTACAAAATACTATATATTAAATAATAAAAAAAAAAGGTGGAAAGAGTAATGCAAGAGAGTAGAGACTAATACAATGTACCTAAAATTAGTAATAATAAAATATATGCCTCTTCCCTTGAGCCAAAGGCCCAAACAGCGGCTCTGCCGCCACCCAATACGCAACGTTTTATAGTCCCCACGCCACTTGCACCCACACTCTACACGTTTTATGAAAGACGCTTGACCCGTAAGCAAAGCATTGTATGCTTCTAAGTTCTAATCTTCACTTGGATAAGGCTGTTTTTATTTATTTATTTTAAGAGTTATTATTAATTTATTTGCCTGGAACCCTCTTAAAAAAAAAAAAAAAAAAAACTTTGAAAAAAGTATCAAAATCATAAAACACTTGTATAATTTGTTGGGTTAAGAATTTCTTTTTTTGATAAATAAGGGCTCTGTTTGGTTCACAATTTTATGTTTTTGGGAAAAGTTTTTTGAAAAAAGTTAAAAAAAAGTTGAATTGGGCGGGTATTACGATGTAAGATTTACAAATTAATAAAATATCTCCTATGTTTGTTTTTTTATAAAACACCCCTTATAATAAAACATTAAAAGTTAACAAAAACACCTCCAATCCACCCTCAAGTACGGACAGTCGGCCACCACCACCGGAGGGTGGTCGGAGTCGCCGTAACAAAAACATTAAAAATATTTAGGGGTATTTAATTGAATTAACAAATTTAGGGGGTTTAAAAAATATTGAATAAAATTGAATAATATTGTGAGTTTTTGGGTATTTTACTGTTTAACTTTTTTGGGAATACTAAAAGTAATATTCCCAAAATCCAACCAAACGAAGCCAAGGTGTTCGACCAGTCTATATATAGACCTCAATTAATCTTTGGATAAGATATTCCATTCTCACAATAAATTTAGGTAAATCATAAGCAAATGCATTGCTTTTGCGTATAGTGAGAAATCGAACCTCAGACTGTAACCCCCGGGTAAATAATGGACAAAGATATTACTTCTACACCTAGTGGAGAATCGAATTTGGGCTTGTGGGTTGAAGCAATGCACGGACCTTGGTTTGCCTTATTGCTAGGCTACTCACGAATGTAATTTTATCAATTTAAAAAAAATGTTGGGTCTGTTTGTTTTGTTATTTCAAATCCTATTTCCAGTCCTATCCTTAAAATAACTGTTTGTTTCATCATCCTCAAAATACTATTATACTTTCTTCAACTATTTTAAATCCCTTAAGTTTATTAATTTAACTAAACACCCTCAGAAAAAAGTTTACAAATTAACAAAAACACCCCCACTCACTCACATTTGTCAGATTCTAGTCACCACCGTCAGAAGGTGGTGTGAATCTGGTATAATGACATACTACCAACTGAATCTGGTCAGTAGTATACCGATCTATCATTTTCGACCATATCCACCGTGGATCTAACCGTTGACGGCCAGATCTTTGGCTGTAGCTGACTAGCTGATCGTCAATGATGGCTAGAAATGGTCATAGATCTGGCCTTTTTCGGTCAGATCCGTGGTAGATCTGGCCGAAAATGTTAGATTCTGATGGTAGTGGCTGAAATCTGGCAATTGTTGGTGGGGGTGTTTTTGTTATTTTACATAAATTTTATATATTATGGTGTTTAGTAAATTAGCAAAAGTAGGTGGGTGTTTTTGTTAATTTTTAAATCATATATTGTTATTCTCATCTAACTCTGTAAATATCAAAAATCATATCCAAAATAATAAATAAACGGAGCCTTGAATATTATGAAATTATTTTTTAGAGTTAGATGAATGGTAATTACCGCCGTTTCCGAGTAAGAAGAAAAAAAACATCTACTCCTATGCCAGAAAAAGATAAGAAACATTCTTAAAATCCAAAGCAAAATCTCAGTAAATTTATCACCAAATTAGGGCAGTTTAGTCAACGAATAAGCCCACATTAGATGTCATGTCATGGACCGCATTACATCATCAATGGCAAACTCTTTAGTTTTTCCCAAACCGGAGGGCATTTCTGAAACCACCTAGTTGATAAATGTGTCTGATGGAGAGACAGAATTTGTTGGCTTTTGCTCTCCTCTCCTCTCTGTCTTCGCTTTTTTTTCTTGATTTCAGTGTTTTCATTTCAGAAGAAAGTGTTTTTGTGTTAGATTCAGACCACAAAGTTTAGGTACTGTAATTGCTTCTTCAAAACATTAATCACCTCCAATTGTACTAAATGTTATGTCTTGTTTTCTTTTCTTTGTTCATGCAAAAGGACCGCAATTCAAGAATGATTTTCTTAAACTTGTGTTTTTTTTTTTCCTTCTGTTTTCAGTTTTTTAAGCTGATTTTCAGCTTTGAATGGTATCTGGGCTCTGATGAAATTTGATTTTTGTCATCTTGTTGCAGATTTTTTGGTGGAAGCTGAAGACAATCTGCCAATTTGCAACTGGGGTTTATACAGAGTGAGCAAATTCTTCAGGCACTGTTATTTAAGTTATCATTTTTTTTTTTTTAAGAATTTAAGTTTGGAAATGGGATTTAATGATGTTTGGTTTGGATGGTTTCACAGGGTTCTTCGGGAAAAATGAGTCTTTTGTACACTCCAAATTTCAAATATCCACAGAGTGAGTTGAGAAAGAACCAAGAGTTCATGGATTCAAGTCACCATTATCAAGAAGAAAACGACCACCAGCATAATTCTGGCCTAATGCGGTACCGTTCAGCTCCAAGTTCATTCTTTGAGAGTCTTGCCAATGGAAGCAGTGGGGGTGTTAATAATTCTGAAGATTATCGATATTTTCGATCTTCAAGTCCTGAAATGGACGGTTTTCTGGCAAAATATATGCTGCCATGTAACGGTTCTGGGGATTCTGGTTCTCATGATTTGCAAGAATTCGGTGAAAAAGCTATGAAACAAGAAGACGCTGGGCCTGTTCCTCAACAGACCGGTTATTCAAATGTTTCCTCACAGATGATTTACCAAAGTTTACCAACTCATAATTTGACTAATGATAATTCTGTGAGTGTTGGTAGTACTATGGATACTTCATTTGGTGCTGTGAATCACTCTATGCGCTTGGAGAATTCGATTCAGGCGAAAATGGGTGCTGGAAATGGCTCCAATCTTGCCAGGCAAAATAGCTCCCCACCTGGACTCTTCTCCAACCTAGGCGTTGACAATGGTATTTTACTTCGTTTTTGCTGCAATTTGCATATTGTTTTATGTCAATTTTTGAATTGTTTCCTTTGAAGTCAGGAATAGTTTTAGTTTGAATTTAATGAATTATGTGTAGTTTAAGCATCCATGGGTTTAATCAAGTTGCAATTTACAAGTCAAGAAAAAGAAAACTTATTGTTTTAATACACAAATTATAAGTGATTATAGATATTAATCAATTCTGCATTCATACATGCTTGTTCGCAGCTGGAAAGCAGAAGGATCTGTGATCCCTTTCTTTAATGTAAAGAGAGTTGACTATATAACTTTTGAAAACCGTTTTTCTTTTCCTTCTTGTCCAATTGAAATCGATGGTCGTGTTGTGGAAGAAAGAACCGGATCCTAGGGTAAAGTTGTAAATTTATAGGATGGAAGAATTAAAATAAGGGGGGAGAAGAATTTGCAGCCAGGAATAGTATGAAAGTTCTTGCCTTTGAATTCTAAATTGAACAGTACAATAATCTTTAACTTACATGGAAATTGAGTTTCTTATGCTTATCTTTAGATGCTAATTATGTTTTGAGAATACACTCTATGACATTAATGTATTGATCATTGCTTCGTTTAGTTGCTGAAGATTTCTTAATGACTGGCAGGCTTTAATGTAATGAGGGATGTGGGATGCTTTAGAGCTTCAAATGGTACCAATGGAGAAGCTAGCCCATCAGGTAGTCGGTTAAATAATCGTATAAACTTTTCATCTGGATCATCTTCAAGACTTATGCCTCAGATTGGTGAAATTGGGAGCCAGAACATTGGGACCAGTAGCCCGGAGAAAAATTTGGGCAGTAATAATGGTAGCACTAGGCAGTACATGTCGAATTTCTCGACTGATTCTTGGGATGATACTTCATTCAGTGGCCTGAATAGAGCTAGAGACCATGATGGGAGCATGTTTTTTGGTTTAAGTACTTTGGAAACTCAGGTAGCATTTATTTGGAAAATTGTTTTTATTTTTCTTAGTTCTGTTTATAAAGGTCTTTAGCTGATGGTATTATGATTTATCAGAATGGAAATTCTGGACACCAGCCTACTCGCTTGACGCACCATTTGAGCTTGCCTAAAACTTCTGCCGAGATGGCCACTGTAGAGAAGCTTCTGCAATTTCAAGGTTCTGTTCCTTGCAAGATTCGAGCCAAAAGAGGTTGTGCCACTCATCCACGAAGCATTGCAGAGAGGGTAAATCTCATCTATATTATTCAATCAGTTCAGTTCTCTCGGTGATTTTCTATATGTGTAATTGGGTATGTAAATTTCAGGTAAGAAGAACAAGAATCAGCGAAAGAATGAGGAAGCTGCAAGAGCTTTTCCCGAACATGGACAAGGTAGTTAAGACTCTAGATTTGACAAATGACACTCACATGTTACATGTTTTCGCGCAAATTTTCATCTGAACTAAAATACTATATATGTTTTCTTCTTGACAGCAAACAAACACAGCTGATATGTTAGATCTGGCAGTTGAGTACATTAAAGATCTTCAGAAAGAAGTCAAGGTAACATCAAAAGACAACCCTTTTAATTAATCTCACATGAACATCTAACCAAATCTATCTTGCCTCACCAACACCTTCTCTTTTTCGTGCAGACGCTCATGGATACTCGATCAAAATGCAAATGTTCAAGTAAACAGAAACCATATTGAAATATTCAGAATACTTGTGTTCTGTCTGGTTTAGTTGTTTCTGTACAGATAGCAATAGGAAATTGGTGGGAGATGACAAAGAAAGCTAACCCCTCATTTCCAATGCACTTTACAATAATAGGGTAGTGAGAAATTGTTGTTTTGGAGAAGAAATGTTGCTGTAATTTATTGTAAGATCTAGTTCTGAATCACTAGGCTAAATGGCTAGTTGTCTTATTTGTATTTTAGTTGAAAAAAATAGAAGAAAAAAAAAATTATTGTCCTTCTTCCATGAAGTTCATGTTCTTTAACCATTTTTTGTGTGCAAATGGAAAAAAAAAATTATATTGCTTGAGAAGTTCAACAAATTTGGAAGATCATGGTGGTGTTGTATTCAATTTTAATGTTATTTTAATTTAGATACTCTTGGAGAATCCTATAATTGGTTTAATACAAGTCAAGGGCATGTTACTTTTGGCATATAATTGAGGCCGAACGACTTACGCATACCTAAGGTTTGTTGAAATGATAGTTGGTATCCAAAAGGTTTTGAAACGACAAATAGATACCTTTTGTCATGTTCTGTTAGTGATTTTCGTTTGATAATAGTGAAAAGACTAAAATGCCCTTGAAAGTTTAATATTTTAATTTTTTATAAATTTAAAAATTTCTAAAAAACCCCCTAGGTTTGCTAATTTGACTAAATACCCCAATATATACAAATTTTATAAAATAACAAAAACACCCCCGCCACCCGCAGTGCTAGATTCTGACCACCACTGCTGGAATCTGGCCGAAAATTTGCGTTATGACATAGACCCATCGGATCTGTGTCGTAACATGTAGATCTGGCATTTTCCGGCAAGATCCATGGTTGATCTGGCCGGAAAAGGCCACATCTGGCCGTCGAGGCTGGAATCTTGCCGAAAAATTGTGTTACGACACAGACCCTTCGGATATGTGTCGTAACACGTTGATCTAATATTTTCCAGCCAGATCCGTGGAGGATCTGGCCGGAAAAGGCCAGATCTGGCAGTCGAGGCCGAAAAAGGCCAGACGTAGATCTGGCCGGAAAAGGCCAGATCGATGCGTTACGGCACAAATCCGACGGGTCTGTGTCGTAACACAATTTTCCGGTCAGATTCCGGTGGTGGTGGCCGGAATTTGGCACTGCGAGTGGCGGGGGTGTTTTTGTTATTTTATAAAATTTTTATATATTGGGGTATTTAGTCAAATTAGCAAACCTAGGGGGTTTTCTTAAAAATTTTTAAATTTATGAAAAAACTAAAATATTAAACTTTTAAGGGCATTTTAGTCTTTTCACTATTATAAAATGAAAATCACTAACAGAACATGACGAAAGGTACCTATTTGTCGTTTCAAAACATTTTGGGTACCAGCTTATTGTTTTGGTAAACCTTGGGTATGTGTAAGCCGTTCTCCCTATAATTGATGCCGTTTTTTGGATTTAAAAGGCCGCCATGTCCAAGCATCTTTCGTGGTGTTTTTATTTTTATTTTTTTATATTTAATTATTTTTTATTAACCAAGATATTTGTTTCAATTTATACGTACCTCGATTAATCTTCAAAATGATTAATGTAGCATTTCGATTAATCTTGGGGGGATTAATGCAGAATTCAATATTTAATTTGAAATTAAGAGGGTGTTGAATATTTTGCAAACTCATGAAAGTAACGAATTTGGTTGAACTTCAATCACTAATACATATCACCATTAATTACTATCACCTAATTGGGATTGTGTAAGGGAACCATTTAACCCTTTTAATTATGATAATAAATTTGGTTTATCAATTGATGTAATAACTGATAACCAAGAGGAATGAACCATCTTATATTAAAAAAAAAAAGATTGAAATGATTTTGATTATTAAAATATCAGGTTAAAGAAAAAACACATGAAATTATTTTTTATAAGCACTTTTTACAAAAGTACTTTCAAACCCACCTCTCTTCGTTGATTTTTTAGGATTAAACCATTTTGGGATCATAAAATGTTTAATAAAACCGAAGGTTAATTGAGTTAAGTCTAAAACCGACCGAACACTCTTGGTTATTAGAAAAAAAAAAAAAAAAGTTTAAAAGAAAGGTACTTCAACTTTCAGGTCTTTCTTCTTTCTTGACGTGGATGGTTGTCTCTGTTTTCCATGTCCAAAAGCACTTATTTTTCTTGGTTTTTTTCCTTCTTTCTACCTGTAAGGCCCGTTTCTGATTCTCTTTGTTTTGGTTGGTTCGACTCAAAATCTTAACTTTGATCTAAAATTTTCATCTTTTTTCTCTCCCATATGAGTTTGAGTTTTGTATAAAGAAAGATGGCTTATAACTACCAAGGTAACTTCAACAATAAAATCGATTATGTGTTCAAAATAGTGTTGATTGGAGACTCAGCGGTTGGAAAGTCTCAGCTTCTCGCTCGTTTTGCAAGAGATGAATTCAATTTAGATTCAAAGGCCACGATTGGTGTTGAGTTCCAGACAAAAACTCTTGTTATTGATACCAAAAATGTCAAGGCTCAGATTTGGGACACTGCTGGTCAAGAACGGTACTTACCCTTTTCTTAATTTATGAAATAATCAGAATTTTCTTTTATTGCTTTTAAGCTTTTTTGATCATTGTGCTTGAATTTTGGATCAGTAGTTTAAGTTTTCTTCTAATTGGGATTTTTGTATCTTTTGAGTTGCGCCTTGTTCTTGATGAACAGAATAAGAAGCTGGATCTATCTTTGGAATTTTATGAGTTTTGTTAACTGTTAAGAGTGAACTTTAAATATCATTTCCACATTGCCTTTAGCTGTAGGCTGTAGCTAATTATTTCTTGTGAAAATTCTGCGTGCGGACCAAGCACAAACGAAGGCTAAGTGACGTTTTCCAGCTTTGATTTGCATTTTGGTAAGTGCAAACGTCCGCACCTGAGGATGACTAATCTCTTTTGGTTGCTTAACTCTGCAAAAATCCAATAGAAATCTGATTCTATTGTCTCAGTTTTAGCTTAGAATCATGCTCTTGATATATGCCCTCTTCAAGAGAAAGTGATGAAGTTACTTGGTTACCCATAGCTTGGTTCATGGAAACTAGGCTATGATTAAAGGAGCTATTAGTGGCAATCTATAACGTTAGAGTTGGATACCTTAAGTGACAAGTGCTTTTGAAATTTAGTGGACCTTATGCTAATTTTGGAGGTGTAGTGATTGGAGTTTATTGCTGTGGATGAATTGAAGGAATGTCAATGTTTGCAGTAAAAGTGCCTCTGGAAAATTGACACAATTGAATTAGATTTCTTTTACCGAACTGGTATCAATTGAAGATGAAAGAAAAGGTAAATAGCATGAAGTATGACATGAATGCAATTGTTAATACAGAGATTAAATAGATTACATTGTATTGAAGTAACAGTTTTGACATGTAAAACGAGATGCTCGTAATTAACTGAACATTGTTGGATAAGGCACTCCTAGTTAATTGATTGATGTATTTGATTGTTAAAGCCTTGTTACAACTGCTTGGGGCAACTATGCATTAGTCAGACTTAGAAGTGTTTACTTTGTTATTTGATGCTATAACATCTAATTGGGTGGAACCAAAATTAAAATTAGTGGTGGGTTTTACTTATTTCCTTTACTCTGTTATGGCAAAAAAGAAAATAAAAAGCTGGTATTTTAAACTAGTACTCCTGCTTCCTTGGCTACAAATGTCCTAGAAACCAATATGTTTATATTTTTGTTGTTCTGTGTATACTGTTAATGGTGGTCTCAGGTATCGCGCTGTTACAAGTGCATACTACAGAGGTGCAGTGGGGGCAATGCTGGTCTATGACATATCTAAGCGTCAGTCGTTTGATCATGTAGCCAAATGGTTGGAGGAATTGCGAGGACATGCAGATAAAAATATTTTGATCATGCTTGTAGGCAACAAGTCTGATCTGGGGAACCTTCGAGCTGTACCTACTGAGGATGCGAAAGAGTTTGCTGAAATGGAAAACCTGTTCTTTATGGAGACATCAGCTCTTGAGTCAACTAATGTTGAAACAGCTTTTGTCACAGTCTTGACAGAGATTTATCGAGTTGTTACCAAAAAGTCTCTTGTCGCCAATGATGAATCTGAATCCGGTGGCAGTGCATCGCTTCTCACGGGTACCAAGATTGTTGTCCCTGGTCAGGAGCCAGAGTCTGGGGGAAGGAGTTTCAGCTGTTGCACATCATCATAGGATATTCTTCTCCTTCCACCTACCGCATACAGGTCACCACTGTTTATAGCTTCTGGAATTTTTTTTGCCTTCATTCAAGGTTTTACCCTCCTTCCCATTTGCATAAAAAAATTCCAAGGTGATGTGCAGGATATTATTGGCTTGGATATTCATTAAAAATCTTTCTCACAATGAAGTGGTAATCCACCTCGATGTGTTTAGTACGAGCATGGAAGAGATTAGAAGAGAGAGCTAAAGCACCAACATTATCCACCCACAACAAGGTGGAGCCGTGAGTGGTATGTGAAGTTCTTTCAACAGCATCCTAAGCCAGTAAGTTCAGCCACAGTAAAAGCCATAGATCGGTATTCAGCTTCAGTGTTTACCTGCCTACAACTGGTGTTTCTTTGCTGACAAGGACCAAGATATATGCAATAGCCAGAGGTGGACTTTGTCACTGGAACCTGCCCAATCCGAGTCACAAAATCCATTGAGGTGAAGTGACCCTTTGCTGAATTTGAGTCCAACGTTTAGGGTACCCTTATATACCTTAACACTTTTTAGCAGTTATTAATGTTCAGTGGTTGGACAGTGGAGAAATTGGCAAAGTTGATTAACATGAATGAGAGATCGGGTTGGTAAGTATGAGGTATTGCAAGGCACCCCTATAGTCCTCATTCAGTAGGATTAGTGAGTGGATCCCCTGAAAATTTTAAGAGTTTAGCTCCTGAGGTGCAAGGGGTAGGAGTTGGTTTAGCTCCAGCCATTTTTGTGCGATGCAAGAGGTCAATGCATATTTTCCTTGGCTAAGATGGAGCCCGTCTGATGTATGTTAACCTGAATGCCTAAAAAATAAGATAGAGATCCAAGATCTTTGATAGCAAAGTCAGCTCCAAGTAGAGTGATGAGGTGATCAATAGATGAAGGAGAGTTACTAAACTATGATATCATCATAAATGAGGACAGACACATATATGTTGTGTGGTGAATGTAAAGAGGATGTGTCCACATTTGAGCCACTAAATCCGAGAGCAAGTAGTGCTTGAGAAAGTCTCAAGAACCAAGCTCTAGGAGCTTGTTTGGTCCGTAGATGGACTTGTGTAGTCTGCACAACAAATCAGATAAGTGAGGATCCTCAAACCCTTAGGCTGCTCCATATATACCTCTTCTTCAAGAAAGCCATGCAAAAATGCTTAGAAATACAAGCTGTCTTATAGCCCGTTATGGTGAGCCGTTTGCCAACACCAATCGAATAGTTGCGTTTAATAACAGGACTAAAGGTCTTAGTAAAGTCTACACCATCAATTTGATCAAACCATTTGGCTACTAATCTAGCCTTATAGCGGTCAATGCTCCCATCTGATTTCTGTTTAAGCTTAAACACCCATTTATTCCTCACAACTTTCTTATGGCAGGTCGGGGACATAAGTCCAAGTGTGATTGGACACAAAGCATTGTATTCAGCTTGCATAGCATCAATCCAAGCTGGTCCTTCATTGCTTCTTTGTAAGTAGGAGGTTCAGTGGGTGTAATGGTAGAGAAAGCTTGTAGTGGATGTTTAGTGGAATGTAAAGATGGTAATTTGGAACAATTTGGGTTTGGAGGAATTGGTTTTGGATCGAGTAATGATTTGATGGGTTTGCATGGTAGGTATGGAATTTGTGGGAGATAAATCTGGTGCAACAGGAGGAGAGGATAAGTCATAGGTGAGGTATCAATGGTGAGTCTGAAATGAGTGCATCAGTCGAGGGAAATAAGTCTAAGGGGAGGATACAGTTCAGTAGATCGATGTGGGAAATGCTCTGGGAAGGTGCTGGTGTAGGTTAAAAACAGGAGGTGTAAAATTTGTAATGAGGGAATTGAAAAAGATGGTGAAAGATGTGAGTGTGAACCTGATTGTGGTGATCTACCAGAGTTGAGAAAATTTTCCTACAAGGATGAGGGGGCTGGAGTTGGATCCTTTGTAGCAGCAGCAAAAACTCAACTCATCAAATTGACAGTCTGGAAATATAGACTTTATTTGTTTTTAAATCCAGAACTGATAACCTTTCTGGTTTGAGCTATATCCAAGGAAGACACCACTTGGTGATTCAAGCTAATTTGTGGGAATTATATGGTCTCAACAAGGGATAACAGGTGCAACCAAAGGTCTTAAGGAAGGAGTAATCTGGTGGTTACAAAACAAGTAAAAAAAGGGAGTGATTGTCTAGACAAGTGTGGGAGTCGGTTTATAACATAGTGGCTGTAAAGAAAGCATCTACCCAGTAGCAAGAAGGAAGCTAAGACTGTGCTAAGAGTGAGAGACTTGTTTCAGTTACATGCCTGTGTTTTCTCTCTGAAATGCCATTTTGCTCAAATGTGTGGGACAAGTTAGCTTGTGTGGATGCCATTTGTAGAGAGAAAGTTGAAAGGCAGTGGATAAATATTCTCCACCATTATCAATGAGAAGTTGTTTAATTTGCCGAGAGAATTGAGTCTCAACAAGTTGTTTAAACTTGATAAAGCAGCAAACACATTAGATTTAGACTTTAAAGGAAACAACCATGTAAATCTTGAATAATCATCAATAAAAAGACATAGAGTTTACATCCATTGACTGATGACACTGGAGATATCCATACATCGAATGAATTAATTCAAGGGGATGGACAAATTGTTATTGGACTTAGAGAGGGATTTGTGACTCTTAGCAACGTGACAGACTCAACGCTTTATTGTGTTTTACAGGACCAGGAATAGGAAGCATAGCCTCTCTAACAACTCTAGAAACAATAGGTTCAGAGCATAAGCAAGTTTGGAATGCCAGATATGTTAGTAAACGGTCCCGTATACGCAGCAAACAAATAAATAAAGTACAAGGATCGTTTACATGAGCCAAGTCAACGGTATAATTTTCAATTCATATTAAAGCAAGAATACAGAAATTAATAATCTGTGTTTAGAAACCATACGCACGTTTGGAGGCTCCACCACGATTGTCTTTGAATGTTTTGCTATCGATCCAAGTGTAGGATCGAACCTGCGTAGTCCACAACGAAGACAATCTCAAAAGAACCAAAGAGGGATTTCTAGATCCTCTTTGGCTTCAAGATTAGAAGAAAAACAAATCAATTGAAATTGATTTTAGGCTAAGGTATTTCTGCCGTGGGAGTGAAAAGAGAGGGCTGCTGTGTGTTTTATTTTTCAAAGAAAAATCAATTCATACCATTAATTAACACCACTTTTCTTTTATAGTAAATATCAAGTTGCCCTAATCCCACACGGAATAGGCTTGGGCTCTAACCCAAACGCCCCATGTTGCCAAACACTCCCATTTGATTTATTTTATTTTCCTCATTATCTCAATTAAAATCAATTAATAATATTTAAATATATTTAAATTTAACAATTGTAATATATTTAAATATATGCGACCACATTTAAACGTAATTTCACTTATTTAATTTTCTAACAATTAAATAAAGGCTACGACCTCAGCAAATATATTGTACTGTGAAATTACCAAAATACCTTTCACCTTAAAAGACGAAAACGCCCTTCTTTCTTCTTGGATCTTAATTATCTTCTATGTGTGGTGACCCATAGGCTCCTCATCATATCGGCAGTGTATAGTATCGCGATTAACACCAATTAATCGTCTCACTAATACACAGACCAAGATTGGCCCCTAGCAAGGCATCATGGCCATCCAATAGATTCAGATTTAGCAAAGTAGCTACCTGTCAACGAATGGTTACCGGGCAATTCGATCCTTTCATCATACGTATCTCGACGAGACGAAGCATAGAAATAGTGTCAACCTTCGGTTCTCTCGATATTTTTTATTCAGTTTCTGGACCAATGACCCATATTATAACTGGATAGAACAACACAATTCAATCCCACTGTGGCCCAGTTTTTAGTGTCATTGCCATATATTGAATTGCGCTGTGAGATAACTTTTCCCGTACCCGAGAGTGATGAACTCCTGTCAATCCACCATATTCTTGATACACTCGATTAGCCACACTACCGTATTGAAGCTCTAAAAGAACCCGTTAGGTTAGTGTCAAACTGCACCAATCGGTGCACAAGGCCTCCGGTGATCTCAAGTCTAAGGATCACATACACCACCATTCGTTAGAGGATTTATTCCATAGACATTGGGGTTCCATCCTTATGGAATCTCTGGTGGGTCAGTCTAGTGAACTTGCTGCGGTGTAATCGCCTGCAGCAAGCACCCATGTGTTCCCCAGGTTGTCACCAAACAACCTTGACAAGTGAGATCAGTCATTGCCTTTCGACAGGGTGTTTCACACTATGATAGCCTTATCGTATTATCTGTGCCCTTACTTTAGAATAATACTGGGGTTCGGACGTTTCTAGAATGGCCACCATATGTGCTCATAAGGTTCTCACTATCAAGATTTGAAACACTTGATACCCTCATCACGGTTTCTACCATTCTAAGGACATATATCAATACAATTGCAATAATAAGATTTACGTGATATAGAATAAAAATGCCTTTATTGATTAATGAACATTATTACAAAGAGTCAATTCTACATAATTGATTGTCTCTAGGGCATCTACTCTAACAAGATATGGATTGAGCTCTGACCCCTTGGACAGTAGTAAGGAGAAATATGAGCAGCTTTTGGTATTGATTTATTGAGTTTCATCTGCTTGAGGTACAGGGGTACAGCCAGCTTCACTCTGTCCTTGAAGAAGAATTGCTTGTCTGTAGATCCTCACAAAGAATGAAAGAAGTAAGCACAAAGAACAGTTATTATCTGACATAATTTTTGTATGGACAAAAGATTGGATTGGCTTTGGGCAATGTAAGATATTATGTAAAAGAAATTTCTATTGGAATTAAGAAGCATAGAAGAACAATGTTGGTGATGAGCAAACCTCCTCCATTGCCTACTGTGCCTTGTCATTCCCTGATATGGTTGCTGTTGCAGTGTCAGATTTTCCAACTCAGGTGATGTGGTTGTTTGCACCACTGTCAAGGTACCAGGTTGTTCATCCCTTGTGTGACATGTGTATCTGCTATAGCTGCTAATTGTGCTGGTGGGTGTCACCTTGTAGGTGAAATCCATTCTATGGTAGCAATCAAGCGCCGATGGTTGGCTTACCACAGATTTGACATGG